TATCAAAACGTTCAGCTATCCCTGCTGCCACTAAACATCAACGCCATAGTCCTGATAGTTTTCACAATATAATCATTTGTTTGCAACTAACGCCGTCCATTGACATTCATTGAAACTTCACTCTACAAAGCTCAAATTTGAAGTGCAATTTCTAAACTGCGACTGTGCCTTCATTTTTAATACTTCAGAGACATACTGCATCAAAATGTAGGTCTGGGTCTTGTGATTCTCACAATATAAAGCTGTTCACTGTAGGAGTTATAGTTTTTAAGATACGACTGTTTGAAGATGGCAACCGCCAAAATACTCTGACCTGTGTCAAGCTGCAGCAGCAAGTGATGTCATAGACAGGGCCTTTTGAACACCTGCTAATGTTTTTATAAATGTATGGTTTAATGTAACTGTGCAACAATGTTGCAATTAAATGCTATGTAAATGATAAGTTACTCCGCCCACTCCAGTTGTAGACTACAGGTGGAGGCAAGAACACTTCACACAATTTCCCCAGAAATTGTAACTTTTCTAGTTATTAAGTGTTCTTGCATAGCAAGACCACTTAATGTTATCTCACATATATATTATTATTATTATTATTATAGCAAAATTTGCCACCCTAACTCCTCCTACAGTTTTTACACTACATAGACAAAAATTTACCAAAACGTGCAGATTGTTCCCGATCGGATTGCTATTACTTTGTGGAACGTTTCGCCAAATGGTTCACGGAATATCGTTGTTCTTGTGGCGAAATTTGTCCCATAGGAATGAATGGCAAAGCTAGAGTGGGAGCTGGCAAAAGCTGAAAAATCAGGACATGATTTCTAAACTGCCTCCACTCCCTTATTTTCAGGCCAACCTACACAAATCTTATATCAAAACGTTCATCTATCCCTGCTGCCACTAAACATGTAAACGGCTAAGCCGTAGTCCTGATAGTTTTCACAATATGACCATTTGTTTGCAACCAACGCCGTCCATTGACATTCATTGAAACTTCACTCTGCAAAGCTCAAATTTCAAGTGCAATTTCTAAACTGCGACTGTGCCTTCAATTTTAATACTTCAGAGACATACCATGCATCAAAATGTAGGTCTGGGTCTTGTGACTCTCACAATATAAAGCTCTTCACTGTAGGAGTTATAGTTTTTAAGATACGACCGTTAGAAGATGGCAACCGCCAAAATACTCTGACCTGTGTCAAGCTGCAGCAGCAAGTGATGTCATAGACAGGGCATTTTGAACACCTGCTAATGTTTTTATAAATGTATGGTTTAATGTAACTGTGCAACAACGTTGCAATTGAATGTGCTAGACTACTGGTGGAGGCAAGAACACTTCACACAATTTCCCCAGAAATTGTAGCTTTTCTAGTTATTATTATTATTCTTATTATAGCAAAATTTGCCACCCTAACTCCTCCCACAGTTTTTACACTACATAGACAAAAATTTACCAAAACGCGCAGATTGTTCCCGATCGGATTGCTATTACTTTGTGGAACGTTTCGCCGAATGGTTCACGGAATATCGTCGTTCTTTTGGCGCAATTTGTCCCATAGGAATGAATGGCAAAGCTAGAGTGGGAGCTGGCAAAAGCTGAAAAATCAGGACATGATTTCTAAACTGCCACCACTCCCTTATTTTCAGGCCCACCTACACAAATCTTATATCAAAACGTTCAGCTATCCCTGCTGCCACTAAACATGTCAACGGGCTAAGCCGTGAGTCCTGATAGTTTTCTTACAATATAATCATTTGTTTGCAACTAACGCCGTCCATTGACTTTCATTGAAACTTCACTCTGCAAAGTCAAATTTGAATTGCAATTTCTAAACTATGACTGTGACTTAAATTTTAATACTCAGAGACATACTATGCATCAAAATGTGTCTGGCCCTTGTGATTCTCACAATATAAAGCTCTTCACTGTAGGAGTTATAGTTTTAAGATACGACCGTTTGAAGATGGCAAATCACCAAAATACTCTGACCTGTAAGTCAGGCTGCAGCAGCAAGTGATGTCATAGACAGGCCTTTTGAACACTCAAGCAATGTTTTTATAAAATGTATGGTTTATCGTAACTGTGCAACAACGTTGCAAATTAAATGTGCTATATAAATGATAACAGTTACTCCGCCCACTCCAGTTGTAGACTACAGGTGGAGGCAAGAACACTTCACACAATTTCCCCAGAAATTGTAGCTTATTATTCTTATTCTTATTATAGCAAAATTTGCCACCCTAACTCCTCCCACAGTTTTTACACTACATAGACAAAAATTTACCAAACGTGCAGATTGTTCCCGATCGGATTGCTATTACTTTGTGGAACGTTTCGCCGAATGGTTCACGGAATATCGTCGTTTTTGTGGCGCAATTTGTCCCATAGTAATGAATGGCAAAGCTAGAGTGGGAGCTGGCAAAAGCTGAAAAATCAGGACATGATTTCTAAACTGCCACCACTCCCTTATTTTCAGGCCCACCTACACAAATCTTATATCAAAACGTTCAGCTATCCCTGCTGCCACTAAACATGTCAACGGCTAAGCCGTAGTCCTGATAGTTTTCACAATATAATCATTTGTTGCAACTAACGCCGTCCATTGACTTTCATTGAAACTTCACTCTGCAAAGCTCAAATTTGAAGTGCAGTTTCTAAACTGCGACTGTGCCTTCAATTTTAATACTTCAGAGACATACTATGCATCAAAATGTAGGTCTGGGTCTTGTGATTCACAATATAAAGCTCTTTCACTGTAGGAGTTATAGTTTTAAGATACGACCGTTTGAAGATGCAACCACCAAAAATACTGACCTGTGTCAAGCTGCAGCAGCAAGTGATGTCATAGACAGGGCCTTTTGAACACCTGCTAATGTTTTTATAAATGTATGGTTTAATGTAACGCAACAACGCTAGTAAATAAATGTGCTATGTAAATGATAACAGTTACTCCCACTACCCAGTTGTAGACTACAGGTGGAGGCAAGAACACTTCACACAATTTCCCCAGAAATTGTAACTTTTCTAGTTATTATTATTAAGTGTTCTTGCATAGCAAGACCACTTAATGTTATCTCACATATATATTATTATTAAGTGTTCTTGCATAGCAAGACCACTTAATGTTATCTCACATATATATTATTATTATTATTATTATAGCAAAATTTGCCACCCTAACTCCTCCCACAGTTTTTACACTACATAGACAAAAATTTACCAAAACGTGCAGATTGTTCCCGATCGGATTGCTATTACTTTGTGGAACGTTTCGCCGAATGGTTCACGGAATATCGTCGTTCTTGTGGCGAAATTTGTCCCATAGGAATGAATGGCAAAGCTAGAGTGGGAGCTGGCAAAAGCTGAAAAATCAGGACATGATTTCTAAACTGCCACCACTCCCTATTTTCAGGCCCACCTACACAAATCTTATATCAAAACGTTCAGCTATCCCTGCTGCCACTAAACATGTCAACGGCTAAGCCATAGTCCTGATAGTTTTCACAATATAATCATTTGTTTGCAACTAACGCCGTCCATTGACTTTCATTGAAACTTCACTCTGCAAAGCTCAAATTTGAAGTGCAATTTCTAAACTGCGACTGTGCCTTCAATTTTAATACTTCAGAGACATACTATGCATCATAATGTAGGTCTGGGTCTTGTGATTCTCACAATATAAAGCTCTTCACTGTAGGAGTTATAGTTTTTAAGATACGACCGTTTGAAGATGGCAACCACCAAAATACTCTGACCTGTGTCAAGCTGCAGCAGCAAGTGATGTCATAGACAGGGCCTTTTGAACACCTGCTAATGTTTTTATAAATGTATGGTTTAATGTAACTGTGCAACAACGTTGCAATTAAATGTGCTATATAAATGATAACAGTTACGCGCCCACTCCAGTTGTAGACTACTGGTGGAGGCAAGAACACTTCACACAATTTTCCCAGAAATTGTAGCTTTTCTAGTTATTATTATTATTATTATAGCAAAATTTGCCACCCTAACTCCTCCCACAGTTTTTACACTACATAGACAAAAATTTACCAAAACGTGCAGATTGTTCCCGATCGGATTGCTATTACTTTGTGGAACGTTTCGCCGAATGGTTCACGGAATATCGTCGTTTTTGTGGTGAAATTTGTCCCATAGGAATGAATGGCAAAGCTAGAGTGGGAGCTGGCAAAAGCTGAAAAATCAGGACATGATTTCTAAACTGCCACCACTCCCTTATTTTCAGGCCCACCTACACAAATCTTATATCAAAACGTTCAGCTATCCCTGCTGCCACTAAACATGTCAACGGCTAAGCCGTAGTCCTGATAGTTTTCACAATATGACCATTTGTTTGCAACCAATGCCGTCCATTGACATTCATTGAAACTTCACTCTGCAAAGCTCAAATTTGAAGTGCAATTTCTAAACTGCGACTGTGCCTTCAATTTTAATACTTCAGAGACATACTATGCATCAAAATGTAGGTCTGGGTCTTGTGATTCTCACAATATAAAGCTCTTCACTGTAGGAGTTATAGTTTTTAAGATACGACCGTTTGAAGATGGCAACCGCCAAAATACTCTGACCTGTGTCAGGCTGCAGCAGCAAGTGATGTCATAGACAGGGCCTTTTGAACACCTGCTAATGTTTTTATAAATGTATGGTTTAATGTAACTGTGCAACAACGTTGCAATGAAAGATGCTATGTAAATGATAACAGTTACTCCGCCCACTCCAGTTGTAGACTACTGGTGGAGGCAAGAACACTTCACACAATTTCCCCAGAAATTGTAGCTTTTCTAGTTATTATTATTATTATAGCAAAATTTGCCACCCTAACTCCTCCCACAGTTTTTACACTACATAGACAAAAATTTACCAAAACGTGCAGATTGTTCCCGATCGGATTGCTATTACTTTGTGGAACGTTTCGCCGAATGGTTCACGGAATATCGTCGTTCTTGTGGCGAAATTTGTCCCATAGGAATGAATGGCAAAGCTAGAGTGGGAGCTGGCAAAAGCTGAAAAATCAGGACATGATTTCTAAACTGCCACCACTCCCTTATTTTCAGGCCCACCTACACAAATCTTATATCAAAACGTTCAGCTATCCCTGCTGCCACTAAACATGTCAACGGCTAAGCCATAGTCCTGATAGTTTTCACAATATAATCATTTGTTTGCAACTAACGCCGTCCATTGACATTCATTGAAACTTCACTCTACAAAGCTCAAATTTGAAGGGCAATTTCTAAACTGCGACTGTGCCTTCATTCTTAACACTTCAGAGACATACTATGCATCAAAATGTAGGTCTGGGTCTTGTAAATCTCACAATATAAAGCTCTTCGCTGTAGGATTTATAGTTTTTAAAATACGACCGTTTGAAGATGGCAACCGCCAAAATACTCTGACCTGTGTCAGGCTGCAGCAGCAAGTGATGTCATAGACAGGGCCTTTTGAACACCTGCTAATGTTTTTATAAATGTATGGTTTAATGTAACTGTGCAACAACGTTGCAATTAAATGTGCTATATAAATGATAACAGTTACTCCGCCCACTCCAGTTGTAGACTACTGGTGGAGGCAAGAACACTTCACACAATTTCCCCAGAAATTGTAGCTTTTCTAGTTTAAGCTTGTTTTCCTCCAATATTATGTTCCAAACTTGGCAGTACAATTACAGTGACATACTCATACCTTGCTACTCGTCTTACATAGTGGTTAACCTGTTAGTATTCTTTCCTTTAACAGAAAAATGACCTGTGGTTATAATCAGATTGCAATAAGTTACTCCTGTTTTCCTTTATTTAAAAATGTGTGCAGTTTATTGATTATTTTCTTGGATATTATTATCTCTCTCATTACACATCTTGTACATGCGCAATATCCAAAATGTATCAATGCACAACAAAACTAAATAATATATATACATATATATATATATATATATATATATATATATCATAACAAAAAAGATGAAAAATCTTTTAAAGAAATGCATTCACATCGCAAAACTGAAAGGTGTGTTAAAAGATAACATCACAGACCCTCTATGAGGAAGTTAAGAGGGCTTGGAAATCTTCTAAAAGAGACAAACCTAACTCTTTCAAATAGTTGTAAACTAATCTTATTACACCTCCACAGATTCTGACCCTGATTATTTAGTCACAGATATTAACTCTACACCTGAGGTGTCAGAAACTCCTGATTTTGAATCACAATCAGAAATTTCAGAAAATGTTTGCCTTGATGTGAAAGATACATTAAAGTCCCCCTGCTGCCGTTCTGGCCCCCCTGGGCCATGTGATCACTAGGTCCTTGCATAGCCGTCCACAACAATGCGAGCAGGGAGAGTGCCTGTTGTGGCGGAGAGCTGATAATCCACAGGTTATCTCCACTTAAGATCCCAGTGAGGCTCAGGAACAAGTATTATAAATCTATAAGGCAAGGCTTTCAGCAGGCAAAACAATCCCACAATATCCCAACATCAATCCCAATGACTGGACGATAATAGCCAATAATGTCACAGTTACATCCCACACATCTCCTCCCCTCAGTGTGACACATAATCTCATTAATCATGCTGTACTTTTCCCCAAATTCTGGATGTATCCCAAAACAGCTAGGTACAATGGGCTAAGTTGTACCCCCTGGTAGCCCTGATCTGGGTGACACACATATCCAAAATTCACCTAGATCAGACCAGGGGTTCGGGAGTTAGGTGGAAGAGACAATTTGACCGACCGCACACGAGGTGGTAGCCGAAAAGGGTTCCATGGGTTTTGGCCCTGCGGTCGGTCTCCGTTCAGGAGGTAAAATACACATAACTACATGCCATCCACTATTAATCTTGTATTCGAATGAATCCCCTTGTTCGGTATTTTTACCTCACCGAACGGAGGGCTGATTAGCCTCTCCGTTTGGGAGTTATGGAGCTCTGGAGGTCTCAGCGGTGTTCGGGTAATTGAGTGTCCGATTTGAGTTCCAGACACTTGACGCCCAAACACCGCTGAGGGTTCGTGCATAAGATGGCGGCCACCCAAATACATGCATAAAGTGCCAATTAATATGCGGTAAGAGCAGTGTGAAGCCTAATAAGGTGCACACTTCTCTCTGGGTTGGTCTACTGGTTCGGTAGTTTCATTCGTATGGGATACGGATGAAACTACCGAACAATCATACGAATTTGACATACACTTTTAACTATATAGGAAAATAAACACACGAATTACAGTTTTAACACAGTCTTTTAGGACAGCTGTAATACCATCCGCTACACTGCTCCAACACGGATCGGCTTGGGGATGTCCGGAGTGCTCACGGATCATTTCTCCAGGTCTGTTTGTCTAGACAACTCGTCAGCGTTTCCATTTTGTTTGCCCGGGCGGTACTGAATGTTAAAGTCAAAGGGCTGCAGCGCCAAACTCCAGCGCAGCAGCATGGCATTCTCCCCAGCCACCCGGTTCAGCCATACTAACGGGTTGTGATCCGTGAGCAAGGAAAAGGGCTGTCCATACAAATACGGCTGCAACTTCTTTAGGGCCCACACCACAGCCAGGCATTCCTTCTCGATGGTGGTGTAGCTTACTTCTCTGGGTAAAAACTTGCGACTGATGTAAGCCACGGGATGTTCTCTGCCATCGGCCCCAACTTGGCTCAGCACTGCCCCCAATCCAAACATAGAAGCATCTGTGTGAACAAGAAAATGTTTAGTTGGATTGGGAGCTGCCAACACAGGGGCATTGATAAGTGCATTTTTCAGATGTTGGAATGCATGCTCACAGTCCGGGGTCCAGGTTACTTGGCGGGGAAGGTTCTTACGGGTCAGGTCAGTAAGGGGTTTGGCCAGGGCGCTATAATTGGGGAAAAACTTCCTATGGTATTCCGCTGTCCCTAGAAATGCTGGCACCTGAGTCTTAGTCCTAGGAGTGGGCCATTGGGCTACGGCCTCTACTTTGGCTGGTTCTGGTTTCTGTTTCCCACAGCCCACTCTATGGCCCAGGTATTTTATCTCGGCCATTCCTATACTGCATTTGGCAGGTTTCAACATCAGACCGGCCTCCCTAATCCTGTCTAGAACCGCTCCTATATGGGCCAAGTGCTCCTGCCAGGTATTGCTAAAAATGGCAATATCGTCTAGGTATGCACAGGTGTAGTCCTGGAACCCATCGAGGAGTCGGTCCACCATCCGCTGGAAGGTAGCCGGAGCGTTTTTCATCCCAAACGGCATGACCTTAAAGTGGTACAAGCCGAATGGGGTGACAAAGGCTGACTTAGGAATGGCGTCCGGAGCCAAGGGAATCTGCCAATACCCCTTACACAGATCAATAGTAGTGAGGTATTGGCCTCTGGCCATCCGGTCTAGCAGCTCATCTATCCTGGGCATAGGATAAGCGTCAGACACTGTCTTCTCATTCAACCTCCGGTAGTCCACACAGAAGCAGGTCGTACTGTCCCGCTTCGGTACGAGGACTACGGGAGAAGCCCAGGGGATGTCTGAGGGTTCAATAACCCCCAGTTGGAGCATCTCAATCTCCTTGCGCATATTCTCCCGCACCGCTTCAGGGATGCGGTATGGGGTCTGGCGCATGGGGAGTTGGCCTGGGGTTTCCACCCGGTGAGTGGCTAGAGGATTGCACCCAGGCACATTAGAGAAGGTCTCCTGCTTCTCTCTTAGCAGCTGTTGTACCTCGGTACGTTCCTGTGGGCTCAGCCGGTCTCCCAGCACAACTTCCCTTAAATCTCCAGACAGCTGACCGTCCCCCAGTAGATCTGGGAGGGGAAGGCTGTCAAACTCCTCAGAGTTGGGTGCTCAAATAGCTGTCACCTCTTCTGAATGTTCCTGATAGGGCTTCATCATGTTTACATGGAGCATGCGTCGCCCTCCAGTCCCTACGCAGTGGCCAATTATATAAGTGGTGTCACATCTCTGTTCCACCACTTTATAAGGGCCTTGCCAGGCAGCCTGTAACTTATCATGTCGGACAGGTTTGAAAATTAAAACTTTCAGCCCTACCTGGAAGCTACGGTCCCTGGCGCCTCGATCATACCATGTGCGCTGCCGCATCTGAGCCGCCTGAAGGTTCTCCTTTACTGTCCTAGTTAGCGCTTCTAGGCGGTATCGGAGCGCCAACACAAGGTTCTCTTACCTGGACCCAATGGGGGTACCGTCTGCGCTCCGGTCTCCCTCCCAATGCTCCCTAATTAGGTCCAGTGGCCCTCTTACTCTCCTCCTGAATAATAGTTTGAATGGGGAAAATCCAGTGGATTCCTGCGGCACCTCCCTGTAAGCGAATAGGAGGTAAGGCAGGAATTGCTCCCAGTCCCGGTGGGTCTCAGCAAAGGTTCGGAGCATTTGTTTTAATGTACCATTGAACCGCTCATAGAGCCCATTGGTCTGGGGATGGTAGGGGGCACTGATTATAGGCTTAATGTTGCAGAATTTCCAGAGGTGCTGAGTGACCTCTGCAGTGAACTGAGTACTCTGATCCCTGGGTAACCCCATTCGGGTGAAAATCTGCATCAGGACCTCAGCCATGGTCTCTGCATGGATATTCGTCAAAGCCACTGCTTCTGGGTAGCGGGTGGCATAATCTACCACTGTTAGAATGTACTTCTTGCCAGAAGGGCTAGGTTTCCGAAGGGGACCTACGATATCTACGGCTATTCTATGGAATGGTTCCTCAATTATCGATAGCGGATGCAACTTTGCCTTCCGCCGGTCCCCCCTCTTCCCTACCCTCTGGCACGTATCGCATGTACTGCAATATTTACGTACTTCCTGGCTAACTCCTGGCCAAAAGAAACTCTGGGTTAGTCTGTGTCGGGTACGACTGACCCCCAAATGCCCGGATAGCGGAATATCGTGAGCTATCTGGAGTAGTTCAGCTCGATACCTCTGTGGTACGACTAGCTGCCTTAGCACAATCGGATCTGACCCAGCTACCTGCTTGTCTGACTCTCTGTATAGCAATTGCCTATCCCATACAAATCTTTCCCCCTCCGCCCCAGGTTGGTCAGAGGTGACTTTGTCTCTATATACCTGTAGGCTGGGGTCAGTGATCACCTCTGCCGCAAATTCGTTAGGGGGGGGCCCAAGGGACACAGTCTAGGGAAGGGGAAGGTTCTCTTACCTGGACCTCCGGTAGTGTGTTATAGTCCTTGGTGCGGGCCTGTTGCCTGGTGACCACTGGATGCACTTCCTCAGTAATTGTGGTTTGGGGCTCAAAAGCCGAGGTGAGCTTTCCCAGGTCATTTCCTAGTACCACCTCTGCGGGTAATTGTGGCATCAACCCCACTTCCACATTCCCCGACCCCGCACCCCAATGCAGCCTGTATACGGCTCCCCCGTCAGCCTGTATACTGCTCCCCCGGCAACCCTGACGGCCACACTTTTACTGGTTTTGGCTTTGTCCGAGACCAAGTGGCTTTGGCCCCGGAATCTTGGAGACCCTGTACCGCTTTTCCCTCCAGGAATAGTGGGTTGGCTTTATGTAGTACCTCCCACTGCTCTATGGTAGTGACGGGAACTGCAGAGCCATAAGCGGTAGTGATGTGCCGCTGCTCTCGGTGGTGGTGTTGGACCTGGTCGGATCCGGGTGGATCGGTCTCTAAGCTGCAGGCAGTCCCGCTTGTAGTGTCCCCACCTCTGGCACTGGTGGCATTGCACAGAGGGTGGTTGGCGAAACTTCGGTTGCGCAGCTGTAGGAGCTGGTGGGGGTAGTTGTCTTGGTGGTGCATTTGTGCCAGCGTAAAAACTGTTTCCTCCTAGGGGTCGTACTGCTGGTTTAACCCCCACCATCTTGTGTTGCCTGCGGGCATCCATATAATCATCCGCCTTTTTATCCACTTCTGTGATAGATGTGGGGTTACGGTCTCTCACCCACTCTTGCAGATCCGCGGGTATCCCGTCATAAAACTGTTCTAGCAGCAGCATTTGTAATAGGTCCTCCATGGACCGTGCTTGGTTCGCTTGTACCCATCCGAGGGCTGCCCTTTGCAATCGGCAAGCCCATTCTGCATGCGAGTCTTTGTCTGCTTTTTTCAATTCCCTGAAGCGACTCCAGTATGCTTCTGGTGTAATAGCATACCGGGCCAGGATAACTTATTTTACCCGGCTGTAATCTCTGATTTCCATGTCTGGTATAGTACGGTATGCTTTAGCAGCTCTCCCCGTTAACCGTCCTGCTAAAATGGGGACCCAGTCTTCCCAATTTATTTTATGTAGCGTGCACAGTCTCTCAAAGTCCTGGAGGAATGCGTCCATATCTTCCTCTGCTGCTACATACATTTTAAACGCCTGGTATGGGATTTTTGGCTTACCCTCTTGCACCATAGACAATGCTGGGCTTCTTTCTGGTGTTTGTGGCCTTCTTTGCCGCATTATAAATTCCTGGACCTCTGTCATCGTCTTGGACATGATCTATCGATGGGTTCTCCCCATAAAAGGACAGTCTGAATTGGAGCTGCCTTTGGAACTCTGCTTGCTCCGTTCCGTCTGTCACATCCCTCTGCTCGGTGACCGAATCATCCTCTGTTCGGTATTCTGCCATTACTTCGGAGATGAGTGTTGCCTTTGTTTTGTTGCTGGCTGGAATACCTCTTGCTTCCAGAAGATCTTTCAGTGTGGATCGTTTTAATGTGGAGTAATCAATCTCCATTAATCCTTGTTCCTTTGTGAGTCTGGATCCCAGCGCTGCCAACCAATGTAGCAGAGAGCTGATATTCCACAGGTTATCTCCACTTAAGATCCCAGTGAGGCTCAGGAACAAGTATTATACATCCATAAGGCAAGGCTTTCAGCAGGTAAAACAATCCCACAATATCCCAACATCAATCCCAATGACTGGACGACACACAGCATCAGGAGCAGAACTGATCTTTTAATTCACACAACCTCCTTATAAAGCATTCTCCCACGCAAGGGAGGGATTCATCATAATTAAGTTACTTTCAATAATGTCAATAATTACAATAATGTCACAGTTACTTTCCACACATGTCCTCCCCTCAGTGTGACACATAATCCCATTAATCATGCTGTACTTTTCCCCGAATTCTGGATGTACCCCAAAACAGTTAGGTACAATGGGCTAAGTTGCACCCCCTGGTAGCCCTGATCTGGGTGACAAACATATCCAAAATTCACCCAGATCAAACCAGGGGTTCGGGAGTTAGGTGGAAGAGACAATTTGACGAGGTGGTAGCCAAAAGGGTTCCATGGGTTCCATGGGTTCCATGGGTTTTGGCCCTGCGGTTGGTTTCCGTTCAGGAGGTAAAATACACATAACTACATGCCATCCACTATTAATCTTGTATTCGCATGAATTCCCTTGTTCGGTATTTTTAACTCACCGAACGGGGGGCTGATTAGCCTCTCCGTTCGGGAGTTATGGAGCTCTGGAGGTCTCAGCGGTGTTCAGGTAATTGAGTGTCCGATTTGAGTTCCAGACACTTGACGCCCAAACACCGCTGAGGGTTCGTGCGTAAGATGGCGGCCACCCAAATACATGCATAAAGTGCCAATTAACATGCGGTTAGAGCAGTGTGAAGCCTGATAAGGTGCACACTTCTCTCTGGGGTGGTCTACTGGTTCGGTAGTTTCATTCGTATGGGATACGGATGAAACTACCAAACAATCATACAAATTCTACATACACTTTTAACTATATAGGAAAATAAACACACAAATTACAGTTTTAACACAGTCTTTTAGGACAGCTGTAATACCATCCGCTACACCTGTAATTACAGGTAGTCTCGTTGCCTGATATATATTAATATCAAAATACACGTAGAATGATATTGATTATATGTATGTATAATATAAAATAAATATATGTAAATATGTTAAAAAAATAAATAAATAAAAATATATATGCGTAATTTCATTCTAACTTTATTTTAAAATTTATATATATTGATATCAAAATACACATAGAACAAAAATAATATATATATCTATATACAAAGGTATATACGTATATATCACTATATATATATATACCTATATATAAATAAAAATAATTACAACAAATTTTATATATATATATTTGTGTTAGGTGCTTAAGATAGTACAGTGTGAAATACCATGAATAAGCGTAGGATGATAAAAGGAGCAAGTCGGTTGTGGTGTGCCGAAACCGACGATGAGGTAGGCCTGAGAAAGAAGAGGGCCCACCCAGGAAAAGAAATAGAAAGGAAAATAAATGTTAAAAGTGGTGTGGTGGGAGGGTCATTCAACGCTGACCTCGAACGGTAAGGAGCCAGGCAAGGGGAGTGCCTTAAGTAGGCTAGGGGTAGAAAACCAGCACCTCCCACAAATGCAGGCAAATTGCCTTAATACTTGTGTTAGGTGCTTAAGATAGTACAGTGTGAAATACCATGAATAAGCGTAGGATGATAAAAGGAGCAAGTCGGTTGTGGTGTGCCGAAACCGACGATGAGGTAGGCCTGAGAAAGAAGAGGGCAAAAATTAAGTAATCCAATTTATTAACAGACAACCAATACATATACATTTATCAACCAGACATGTTTATGAAAGCATCTCTTAACTCTTGTACTGGGTTCGGTATGTACCGTGAGTAAGCAGATGACTTCCAGCGCCCCAGTGTTTTGATAACATGAGTTGGGACGTTGAAACTGGAGGCTGTGGACGCGGCTCCTATACGAAAGGAGTGTCCTGAGTAATTGTTTGCGTTGAGGCCCAGTTGTGTGAGCAAGGACCTGACGTAGGTCATGAAGGTTGTAGTGGTGAGTACTGCACCTTGTAGTTGTAATAACGGTTGCGAGGGCAGTAAGTGATGGTGCTGTATGTAGGCATCAAGAACTTTTACGGGACACCATCTGTTGTGCGTGGGGTAGTACGGAATGTTTACAGGTATGTGCTGGCTGGTTTTGGAGTGAGGTAAAGACAGGATGTAATGATCCATATGTTTTGTCAAGTGGGAATAGAGGAGGAATGGAGTGGTTTGGGTCGTGGAGGTCGTAGTGAATTCTCTGGGTCGTAGAAATCCATAGAAAGCGATGTATATTGCTGTTTTGATGATAGAATTCGTATTAGTGTCAAATGGTTTCAGGTCGAGTAGGTTAGATAAAGCTTTGAAGATATGGTTATCTATGGGTAGCCTCTGGGCCAAATGTGTGGGTTCTGATTTTTGAATACCTCTGAGTATGGTCTTAATTTGGTGAGAGGCCATGAAACTGTTGTTATTTGGGTGTAAGATGAGCATGTGGTGTTGAATGCCAGTGAGATAGAGTTTGATGGTGTTATATGACAATTTGAGTTTAAGGTGGCAAAAGGAAGCAAACCCCAAAAAAGATGTCATAACAAACGGTTGTATGATGTTATGTTCCAGAAGGAATCGTTTGAATAGTGTGAAAGCCCTGTTGTATGTTTTGTTTGTATTGTGTGAAAGTGCCAACTGAGACAATGTCCTGCTATGCTGCATGATGACGTCTAGTCCAGTATGAGTTGTTGAAATGTTGGAGTGATGGTGGCTGTGGGTGCTGCTGACGGGAGTGCTTGATGAAACTCCTGAAATTTAAAGCGAGACAAACTGTCAGCAGCTGTGTTGTATACACCTGGCACATGAAAACAACATAGGAAGAAATTATGACAAGCTGCCAACCAAGTGAGTTTCCTCAGAAATCTCATAATCGTAAGAGATTTGGAACGACCTTTGTTGATGATGTGACAGGTCGCCTGGTTGTCTGAGTAACAACGCACTGGTGTATTAGCCCATAAATGACCCCACGCTACGGCAGCCGCCACTATGGGGTAGATCTCAAAAAGAGCTGAGGTAGTGGAAAAACCTTCCAAATCCAGAACTGCTGAAGGCCAGCTGCCCCAAAGCCATTCGTTCCCAAAAATTGCTGCAAAACCAGTGGTAGATGCCGCATCTGACCAAATGGTAGGAGATGATTCAGTCAATTGAGGGAGGAACATACTTTTACCATTCCAAGTGGTTAAAAACCTCTTCCACATGTTTAGATCTGCCGTAGCTTGGGCATCTAAGGACAACCTGTGCGTGTCATGTAGAAAAAGTGGGAAAAGATGCAATAGTCGTGAAATAAAGGAGCGGCCTTGAGGTATGATGCGCATTGCAAAATTTAGTGACCCCAGCAGGGACTGTAGTTCTTTGCGGTTGCAAGTGCCGAGCTGTAGGTAGTTGTTAATGTAAGTGAGAATATTGTCTATCTTTTCGTAAGGTAGGCTTGCTTGCATTGTGGCAGAGTCTAACTGGATACCCAGAAAAGTGATAACCGTGTCTGGCCCTTCTGTTTTCTTTGGGGAGATGGGTACACCTAGTTGCTCAAACAGCTTAGTGGTAGCTTTGAGGCTAGTGGGAGGTGCAGTATTCTCCTCGACCAGTAGGAAATCGTCCAAATAATGTAATACTGTAGGGCATCCGGCTATGTTCAATAGTAACCAGCATAGTGCTTCGGCAAATGTGTCGAAAATAGCTGGGCTACTTTTGGACCCAAAAGTTAACCGGGAGAAAAAATAGTAGTTCTCGGACCACTTGATGCCATGCAGGTGCCACAGTGTGGGGTGGATAGGGAGTAATTTGAAGGCGTTAGTAATGTCGGTCTTACTGAGCCAGGCTCCCACCCCTGCTTGTATGATGGCTGTAATGGCGTGATCTATGGTGGTGTATTGCAGAGAGAATTCCTCAGAGGGTATGAGGGAATTAAGACTGGGGTCGGCCGATGAGTGGGGAGCCGATAAGTCAATGATGAGTCTCTGTTTTTGGGAAGATTTCCCTGTGACAATACCAATAGGGTTGGTGCGCCATTCTGTGAATGGGGAGTTCTAAAAGGCCCCAATACAAAGCCCTCCTCCACTTCTTGGTTTATGAGGGTGTCAACCACTGTGGGGTTGTGTTGGGCGGATTGTAGGTTTGGGCATTCCAGAGTGCCAGCTGGTATGTGTAGGATACCTGTGTGGAAGCCTTCTGTCAAACCAGAAATAAGAAAATCTACCAGGTGTCTAGATGGGTGCTGAGACATCAATGCTGTGAATACTGGCATATTAATGGACGTAAGGTAAGGCTTAGAATACATTTTATTTGGACACATGGTCTTAGCATGTGCCCTAAAACATTTTGAACAGACATGCAATAGTCTACATCCACTGTAATTACAAGACCCAACATTGAAATTATTACATATCTGGGACTTGCCCAGAAACTTGATTGGGCGTCCCAATTTGTCTGTGGATAGTTTCCCTGGATCCCCAGAGGAAGTAGTTCCTTGTGTGGAGGCATGTCCGTCTGCCGTGTTTGGACAAAAATTAGTAGTATGGGCTGTGGAGGAGCAGTATGCACAAGCTGGTGTTCTTAGACCTGCAAAGTGTCTGCAGAATAAGACGGTATCAATCCTTCCCCAGTTGGACCGTGTACCGTACTGGGAGAAGGCTCCAGCCACTTTTGCAGAAAAAGACCTATGGTAGTCATAGAATGCTGAACCACCATATTTGTTGCCCAGGTCTACCAGCTTGTGCATATAGAGATCGAACTCCTCTCTTCTGTTGGGATAGACCGCACAGACGACATCCCTGTAAATACCAAATGCTAGAACAAATTCAGGGATAGTCAGTTTTCTGTTTAGGCGGGCATCCCTAGATCTGACAATAACAGAAACATCATCATAAGCATACGTTTTATGTTCCACAATGTCCTGGGAGGCAATCAACAGGGAAGCCAGGTTGACGTCTTTACCTTCCAGGATATCCCTTTTGATATGCTCAGGTATCATGTGGGCCGGGCTAACTTCCTGGTCATCCAGGGGGCTGGCTGGAGCGACTAATGGCAAGGCTGGTGTTTGTACTGCAGCCGCGGTTGGCCCTGCTAGAGTGAGGGCCGTGGTGACCGACTCAAGTTTCTCCAGCCTGGAGTTGACCTTGCCCATGGATGCCATGAGTGAGGATAACATGGCATGTATGTCCCCTGGGTTGGACTGGCTAGATCCTTCCCCGGCTTCCATGTTATTGGTTGATGTGCGTAGCAGTTTGAAAAGTTCTGCCTTCCTTGCTGTAGCGGGGTAGGGGATTTGTCGTCTCCTTAATTCCGTGGTTATGCGCGGGATTGTCCAGGATCTAATTGATGCTGGACTAGCTAGCTCTCCTCCTTGTGTGGGAGTGACAGCTCTAGCCGGGGTGCTAGGCAGGGAGAAATCCTCTACCCCTTCCTGAGACATACTATAAATAAAACAATAATTAGTATATAGAACCACCAAATTGTACTGGCAGGCTAGCTAGGCCGGATGGCGAAAGTATTATGCTTGTTTGGTGACAGGTGAGGCCCTACTAGTTGCCAAGCGGCTTGAGAGGCTCTATCTATGCGTTGGCGCGAGGGGTTATTGAGGCCACTTGACGTAGTGGCAGGAGTTTTAGGCCTCTCGGTGACTGTACGACAGAAAACAGGGGAAGGGAGTGACAGGTGAGGCCCTCTCTTTGCAACATGCGAGGCGGCTAGCTAACGTGTGGCCCGATGGGTGTTTGCCTCCGAAACGTTTGAGGCGGGGTGTTGGCCTCGCGGGACCACTAACTGATGGCGACAGCCAAGACGGGGTAAATACCTATTGGGAATCCTGTGACCCTATTGCCAGTACTCTAAACTAGGGGGATGAAATGAAATGTATGGTAGAATACCATATGAGCAGGTGTACGTACCTGGTATTATGATAAATCACAGGAATAAACCGTGTGGAGCAACTATATAAGCTCGACAGCCTAAAATGGGTAAAAGAGAGTAGTACGATGAGTGTGGGGTATAACAAGAACCAGACTTATAGTCTGTAGCAGCAATGTATAAATTATGTTGATACCATGGGAATAGCTATGAGTGGCTCAGAAATGTTTGCATGCTTGAAAAAGACATCTGAGGGAGGCCGTGGCCTATGTACAAACAATCTATGTGTTACGTGATAATGGTGTGTAAAGGAAAACATGAAACGTAGGTTATATACATATGTATTATGACTGTGTAGGGGACGTATGATTGGTTGGATCAGGACGTGTGATCCAACCCGAGTATGCATGCAAAAGGACTTATGCCTTGTGTGTCATCGTCATGACAGAGAAATGAGGCCTGTAATGTAGGCTGAGTAAATTGAAATGAAATGGATAGTTATAAAACTCCTGACGTGGGAGTTCAATGACCTGTACCGAAATGTAACTGGTTTTATAGAAAGGGACATGGATGAGGTCATGGCCTAATTAACACATCGTTGTGTATGATATGTAGCAGAAAGACCAAAGGCAGGGATACCCCAAAATTATTTAGCATGATGTAAAGTGATGTAGATCTATATGATATGTATGTATAGCAAAGACGTATCAACCCGAGAATTATTGCTTAAATGAACCTATCCCTGTATGTATTGTATTAATAACCCAGAAATGAGGCTTGTGACATGGCTGAGTCCATACGTATAAATGGATAAGTAATGCAGACCCCTGAAAGCGTGGGAGTTAAATGGTATACACAGAAGTGGACTTGGTTTGTGGACGTAATACAATACTGACAATTGTTAAAAGTAATCAACAATCTATTTAAGCAAGCAATACTTAACCGAATGTTATATACACATGAAATGGTGAATATAATTCATGAAAGGATTAAAACGTGAACACACAGAACAGCCGAAAGCAAATGTGAGGGGAACACAGAAGTTAGAATAGTTTAACCGTATGATTTATGCGAACCAAAGTGTGTGTGAGCGTATGTAACATTTGCCGAACGGCAAAACAACCGAATGAACATTCGTTTAAATAACATGAATAGGATATGCGAAATGACTATTGAACGATTGAAAACATGTTCAGCCGAATGACCGTACGAAATGAAAAGCCCGCGAATGGCTTGAAAACATTCGCGTCATAACCAGGGAAAAAGCCGTAAAGCGAGGACCCGTGCTGTACCGTACGCCGTGGGAACCAGTCCTGGCGTGACAGGAAGGTCTGACTTACGGTTTAGGAGACCCTGGGACGCGATCTACGACGGAGAAACGGAGTCAGAAGAAGCTGGTCGGGCGGAAAGGCCTGAACAGGATTCCTGGACACAGCTTAACGTGGTGAAACCTCCTGGATACTGAAACCAAGATGGCGTCTGAGAGAACCCGGAAGTGGATCCTCATACAACGCTGACCTCGAACGGTAAGGAGCCAGGCAAGGGGAGTGCCTTAAGTAGGCTAGGGGTGGAAAACCAGCACCTCCCACAAATGCAGGCAAATTGCCTTAATACATATATATATATATATATATATATATATATACACACACACACACATATATATAATAATTGTACGGATATATTTATGTAATAATTTTACATAATTAGGTCATTTTATTAATTACAATTTGTGGGTAGTGATGTCCCGAACTGTTCACTGGCAAAAAGTTCCTGTCGAACATCGCTTGTTCGCGTTCGCCACGGATGGCGAATATATGCGCTGTTCGGTCCGCCCCCTATTCATCATCATTGAGTAAACTTTGACCCTGTACCTCACAGTTAGCAGACATATTCCAGCAGACCCTCCCTCCCACACCCAGACCCTCCCACCTCCTGGACAGCATCCATTTTACATTCATTGTGAAGCTGCATTCTTAGAGAGGAGGGACAGTGTAGCTGCTGCTGATTTGATAGGGAAATTGATAGCTAGGCTAGTGTATTCAGTGTCCACTACAGTCTTGAAGGACTCATCTGATCTCTGCTGTCCAGGGCCTGCCCAGTGCCACCACTCACTCACTGGTGTCCCAATAGCTTGCATTTAAAAAAAAACAAAAACTTTTTGGACTGTAATATAATAGCAGTCAGTTTCTTTCACGAGTGTGTGTTTCAGGGCCTGCCCAGTGCCACCACTCACTCACTGGTGTCCCAATAGATGCATTTAAAAAAAAGCTTTTTGGACTGTAATATAATAGCAGTCAGTTTCCTTCACGAGTGTGCATTTCAGGGCCTGCCCAGTGCCACCACTCACTCACTGGTGTCCCAATAGCTTGCATTTAAAAAAAACAAAGCTTTTTGGACTGTAATATAATAGCAGTCAGTTTCCTTCACGAGTGTGCGTTTCAGGGCCTGCCCAGTGCCACCACTCACTCACTGGTGTCCCAATAGCTTGCATTTAAAAAAAACAAAGCTTTTTGGACTGTAATATAATAGCAGTCAGTTTCCTTCACGCGTGTGCGTTTCAGGGCCTGCCAGGGCACAGTGTCACACCAGTGCAACTCATATCTGGTGTAACAGTAGTGTACATTTAAAAAAAAAAAATGCAATTTCGACTGTAATAGATTGAATAGCAGTTAGTTGTCTGCAAGCGTGTGTGTCAGGCCTACAGCGTCTACTCTGCCAACTTCTGCCACTGCACAGTGACACTCATATCTGTTGTCACAGTAGCTTTCACGCATAGTACCACTAATCAGAAAAAAAATGACAGGCAGAGGCAGGCCACCCCGCAGGGGCCGTCGTGGTCGTGGTGCTGTGATTCCATTTGGCCCTAGAATAATGCCCATTGTACAGAGGCCACGTACCCTGAACTCGAAAAGTTCTGAGGACATAGTTGACTGGCTAACACAGGACACCCAATCTTCTACAGCTTCCGCTCAGAACCTTGACGCACCATCCTCCTCCAGCTTAGCTTCGGGCACCTCTCAAGTTACCACTCGCCCGCCTGCCACCACCACCAACACTAGCACCACAGCAGCTTCACTTGGTATGTCAGAGGAGTTATTTACACATAATTTGGAAGAAATGAGTGATGCGCAACCATTATTGCCAGAGGATGTAGATAACAGCGATATGTCTCAGTCAGGCTGCATTACACACATGGACGTACGGTGTGATGATGAAATATATAAATAAAATATTTAGACATACATGAATTAATTTTAAAGTACAGGGAGTGCAGAATTATTAGGCAAGTTGTATTTTTGAGGATTAATTTTATTATTGAACAACAACCATGTTCTCAATGAACCCAAAAAACTCATTAATATCAAAGCTGAATATTTTTGGAAGTAGTTTTTAGTTTGTTTTTAGTTATAGCTATGTTAGGGGGATATCTGTGTGTGCAGGTGACTATTACTGTGCATAATTATTAGGCAACTTAACAAAAAACAAATATATACCCATTTCAATTATTTATTATTACCAGTGAAACCAATATAACATCTCAAAATTCACAAATATACATTTCTGACATTCAAAAACAAAACAAAAACAAATCAGTGACCAATATAGCCACCTTTCTTTGCAAGGACACTCAAAAGCCTGCCATCCATGGATTCTGTCAGTGTTTTGATCTGTTCACCATCAACATTGCGTGCAGCAGCAACCACAGCCTCCCAGACACTGTTCAGAGAGGTGTACTGTTTTCCCTCCTTTTAAATCTCACATTTGATGATGGACCACAGGTTCTCAATGGGGTTCAGATCAGGTGAACAAGGAGGCCATGTCATTAGATTTTCTTCTTTTATACCCTTTCTTGCCAGCCACGCTGTGGAGTACTTGGACGCGTGTGATGGAGCATTGTCCTGCATGAAAATCATGTTTTCTTGAAGGATGCAGACTTCTTCCTGTACCACTGCTTGAAGAAGGTGTCTTCCAGGAACTGGCAGTAGGACTGGGAGTTGAGCTTGACTCCATCCTCAACCCGAAAAGGCCCCACAAGCTCATCTTTGATGATACCAGCCCAAACCAGTACTCCACCTCCACCTTGCTGGCGTCTGAGTCGGACTGGAGCTCTCTGCCCTTTACCAATCCAGCCACGGGCCCATCCATCTGGCCCATCAAGACTCCCTCTCATTTCATCAGTCCATAAAACCTTAGAAAAATCAGTCTTGAGATATTTCTTGGCCCAGTCTTGGCGTTTCAGCTTGTGTGTCTTGTTCAGTGGTGGTCGTCTTTCAGCCTTTCTTACCTTGGCCATGTCTCTGAGTATTGCACACCTTGTGCTTTTGGGCACTCCAGTGATGTTGCAGCTCTGAAATATGGCCAAACTGGTGGCAAGTGGCATCGTGGCAGCTGCACGCTTGACTTTTCTCAGTTCATGGGCGGTTATTTTGCGCCTTGGTTTTTCCACACGCTTCTTGCGACCCTGTTGACTATTTTGAATGAAACGCTTGATTGTTCGATGATCACGCTTCAGAAGCTTTGCAATTTTAAGAGTGCTGCATCCCTCTGCAAGATATTTCACTATTTTTGACTTTTCTGAGCCTGTCAAGTCCTTCTTTTGACCCATTTTGCCAAAAGAAAGGAAGTTGCCTAATAATTATGCACACCTGATATAGGGTGTTGATGTCATTAGACCACACCCCTTCTCATTACAGAGATGCACATCACCTAATATACTTAATTGGTAGTAGGCTTTCGAGCCTATACAGCTTGGAGTAAGACAACATGCATAAAGAGGATGATGTGGTCAAAATACTCATTTGCCTAATAATTCTGCACTCCCTGTAAATGTATAAGCTAGATAATGTAAGTGAGACACTGTTCATGTGGCATCCACCTAGGAATCATAGGCAAAGCATAAGATTATAATTGTAGAGAAGAAAATAATCTTGATGTATTGTATAGAGGTAAGCATACAACTGTTCGGGGGCAGCTAAAGCCTGTGGAGTATAGGTATACCAATTTTAGTTTGTATTAGATTTATTTTAGGGATTCTTATGTATACATGTTTTTTCTTAATTAAAATGTCCACCCAGCCTCCCTACCTGGAGAGCTGGCGTGGACCTGTCCCTGGGTATATTTATTTTTGAAGTGGTGTGGGTACCTATAGTGTCCTTTTAGGTTCTGCATAACAGGTTATAGTTATCCCTGCCAAATTTGAAATTTTCTATCACATTATTTTAATTGTGGAAAAGCTTATCAAACATTTAATGTATATCGTTCAGCTTCTTCAGCTAATCATAATCCCATAGACATGTTACCTATTGGCAAACACCCACTGGTGTGAATATTTTTGAAAATAACCACTGCAATGGTGTCATTAAACGTGAGATATGCATCCATCCATGGACTGGACAGAATATCTTTTTAAGAGGATTCTTAATGTGTCTGACCTACCACATTGTCTGTTGAAGGATCCTGTGGCCTTGGGTATGTGGGCAAGGCCACGCTGGCACTTGAAGACAGAATATCTCAGCAAAAGTATTCTATTAGGAATCATCCGCCATCGGATAAGACGATGGCAAGGCATATCCATCTTTCCGAATGTCAATGGCAAGTGCACTGTGATTTTTGAGGACACTTATCCACTGAAAAAGGGACAGAAGTCCCGTAACGTCTGTTTACTTAAATGCTCTTCAATAAATGGAGGTGTCACTTGTGGTACCTGCTTACTAAGCTGCACATTGTGTTATCCCTTCTTTTGCTCTCCTGATACTTCTACTGGCGGAGCCATAATAGTTTATACATATATGCAGGGCTCGAGTCCTGCAGGAACGTGTGGGAACGGCGTTCCCGCACTTTTCTTAGAGCAGGAACGCCGTTCCCGCTGTTCCAGCAGGCACCCAGGGCACAAAAATGCCCCATGTTTCCCCTGTCATGGGGGGGGGGGCAAAAGGTGGCCTGATGGTGACCTGATGGACCCCGCCAGCGGTCGCTTGTCTCCCTGTCAGACGCAGCAAGGGAGCTGTGTTCTCTCTGCTCCCTCTCGCCGCGCGCCGTTTGCTGATGCCGGGAGCCGTAATATGATGTCATATTCCGGTTCCTAGCATCAGTAGACTGCCCGCGCGGCGAGAGGGAGCAGAGAGAACACAGCTCCCTCACCGCGTCTGACAGGGAGACAGGCTCCTGCCACACTGGACCCCAGGGACAGGTCCACGCCAGCTCTCCAGGTAGAGAGGCTGGGTGGACATTTTTTAATTTAAAAAAATAATTTATGAGTGTATGTGTATGTATGTGTGTGTCTGTGAGTGTATATATATGTGTGGGTCTGTGAATGTGTATGTATATGTGAATTTATATATATATATATATTCACGAGTGTATATTATTATTTTTTTGTGGCGGGGGGAGAACTTGGATGAGTTCCCACACTTTATTCCCCAGGACTTGACCCCTGCATATATCCAGCACTAGGTAGAAATATTTGGGGGATTTTTGACACTGCAGTCACCACTCTCCTAAATCATAGGCATATGATGTAAGTGACCACCTATTCCTAAGTATCAAACTACGTGAGAAATTAACATACTTATTAACAAGATTGAAAATAATTTGTTGTCTAGCATTCATCCTTTTCCACTGGAGGGGAGAATGATTGGGGAAAAAACAGTTAGGAGGAATCTTTGCAGGAAATCTTACATAGATGGTACACTATTTAAATGGACAAAACCCCCATTGATCTGTGTTGGAGGGGATGTGAACACAGGGGATCCTATGTTCATATCTGGCGTGAGTGTCCTAAAGTAGTAGGTCTGTGTGACAAATTAAAGAGTTATTAGATAAAGTGTTCCAGAGACTGTTGGAAATTGACCCTTGGTCCTTTCTCCTTTTTAGATCATAGGTGGGTCTGACCAGGCATGAGCAAAAGCTTTGTGATAAAATATTTTTGGCTGCAAGGCAAGCGCTGGCTTAAGTAGGATGTGCCACTGCTTAGAGAAGTCAAGTCCATGATAAAACACAATAAATTAATGGATTAGCTAACAACTGTGGTAAGGGGTGTTGAAGTTACTCTCCGGAATGTCTGGGCTAGGTGGGAGGAGTTGGTGAACCTTTTTATAGGACAAGTTGCAAGAGAAAGTTTACAGTTGGGCAGAAGCAGTGCCCCTGTTCTCCCATCCCCCTCCTAATATAGATATTTTGTTTAAAATCTCATATTTCCATGTGACTGGCTCCACCTCTACAGATGTTCAGCAATCATAATTGTTGCATATACTTTGTCAAGGTTATCAGTTACTTATACGCATATTGGAATAGTGCCAGAGCCTGTCTACGAGATGTAATTTACTGATCTTTTAGATTGTTTTTTTGTTTTCATTTCTCTGATTGTTTCAAATCTTTTCTAATTTTAATGTGTTCTTATCTAAAATGGCAGGAATTTCTGTACATGACTTTTGCCATTTTGTAATACGATATTTCCTGTCATATAAATAAAGAACTACGTTTTTTTTTGCATTTAAGCTTACTCTCTTATGTCTTTCAAAAGAGTTTCTGGCGTTAGAGCACTTGATCTTACACAAGAAAGTTCTTTCCTTATGGTGTTGTTTTCAAACATAAAAAGGGGTCACCAAAAGGTAGATCCCCATGATACTTTTCATGCATTTGGAATGCCTTTAGAATGACAAAGCATCATGGAAGATGTAATTGTTACTCATATTCTACAGTTTCTGATGTTCTAGTTGTTATTCTCAGTTCCTGGTTCTTAAAGCTCGAAAGAGGGGGTATCTGTGGGGTCATGCAATTTATTATGTATGGTCCACGCTGTTTGGCTACTAATGTTCTATTGTTAGCATGCTTGGTTGCATCATGTTTCTCCTAAACCTACATTGTTTATTAACCTTTTGCTGCTGTTTGAGCAGTAAAGCATATTATTAATAATATATAATAATATAGTAGTGATGCATAATATTCGCCTACTGTTTTTAATATGATAATTTTTTCAGATGCCAAAAGGGCTACTACAATCTGGCCATTTTGTCTCATACGAACGATATTCTTTACTAGCAAAGCAAGAATATTGTAATTTTCATGCCTTACACGAATTGTTAAGAAACTGTTAAATCCCACTTCCTCTCTGCAAACTATCCTTACAACATCAGACCCTGATGAAATTCCCTAACAGAAATCTCCTTATAACTATAAAATGAGCAGTGTCTGCGCTTCTTCTTTTCTTTACAATTGGAAAAGAAACCATTCGCCATGGAATGCCTGGTGATGCTGATAGCAGCTCTTTGCGCACTACCCATGACAGGTAACATTATTTTTTATAGGATATAATAGAATTATCTTTTACAGGTGAAATACTGGCATTCTTGGTGAAGCACTTGTAAATGTAGAGAACAACTGTCACTTCCGAGAGAAAAATTATGCCTGGTGCAAATGTAGGCACACAATATTTGGGAAAGTGACAGTTCCTCTTTAAAGGAACATGATAGCATTAGAAATACAAACATGTATTCCTAATGCTATAATGTCACATCACTGTTTCGATTCAGACTCCTTCTCCCCAAGTTAAGTTTAAAAAAAAGTTTTTAACTTACTTTTTATTAAGCACTGAGACTTACTCAATGCAGACACCCACTCCACTTACAATAATGTGATCTGGCAGGTGTTGCATCTTGGTCTTCCCACCCAACGCTCCTAATGAGCAGCATTGAGGACGGGAAGGGCATTTGAGCAGGTGAGATATTCGTCCAGTTAAATACTTTTATAGGGAACATTGAATTCTATTCCTTTAGTGGTCTTTTACGATATCTAATATGTGTATGCTTTTTTTAATTGGAGGACAGTTAATTTATCAACTTTAAAGGTTGAGCTATTCAGCTGCTATAGGATTGAGATTATCAACACCAACAGTGTCTTTAAAAGGGAATTGACACTGCCAAGGATTTTTATTGTTATGTTTAAAAGAAAATGGAGCATCACATAAAAAATAGTTTAACACAAGTTATTTTCAATGTTTTATTTAATTGTGTAAATTCCTGAGAAGTGACAGTTCCACATTAAATGAGAAAAATATTATATTTTAAAAATACATTCGCATATACAAAATATATATCACTTTATTGCTGAAAAAGTTAGGAAAGCTGTGAAATAATGAATTTGGAAGGCAATATTGTCCATTTTGGTCTAGCAATATCATAGTATCCATGCTCACCATAAATATGGTAACATAAGATCGTAACATGTGATGGAAACAGACAAATGCTTCTGCATCCTCAAGCACAAAATCATAAGTTTTATGAATACGACAGCATCCTGCTTTGGGAGATGGAAAGTAGATATTCTTTAATGATACTTACAGGTAATCATTAACACTTAGTAACATTTAGCCTTTAATCACTTATTTTGTAATTGTGAAGAATTAACAAAAGCAATTGCAAATTTTTTGAAAAACACAAATTAGCATCTTTCACAAATCGTGAGGGCAGATCCCATTAAACAGCAATGCTAAAAGATCTAGAAAACCTGTCTAAAAAGTGAACAACATACTTTTATAGATAATCCCATATCCCAAACAGTAAATAAAATTGAAAAGAGAAAGCATTCAGTGATGACCAGAAATAAAGTTGCAGAGCTTTGGGTAAACTGAGTTAAGTCTAAGGGAGTGAACAGTGTGTTAAGTATAATACATAGGTGTGTGCAGCCTATTGCATTAGGGTGTGCACCCTAAAGCACAAGCACACGCCGCATATATATATATATGTTTGTATGTATATATATATATATATATATATATATATATACACACACACACACACACACACACACACACATACACACACTGCTGTGTGTGTGTGCTGTGTGAGGGTGCTGTTAGTGTGATGTGTGCGTGACGTTGCTGGTAGTGTGCCATGTGGGTGAGGGTGTTTGTGTGTGCGCCCTTGTGAGGGTGCTATTAATGTACTGTGTGTGAGAGTGCTGTTTGTGTGTGTGTGCGCTTGTGAGGGTGCTGTTAATGTACTGTGTATGAGGGTGCTGTTTGTGTGTGAGGGTACTGGTAGTGTGCTGTGTGTGTTTGTTAGGGTCCTGTTTGTGTTTGTGAGGGTACTTTTAGTGTGCTGTGTGTGAGGGTGCTGTTTGTGTGCTGTGTGTGAGGGTACTGTGTGTGTTTGGGTGGGTGCTGTATGTGTGTGGGTGCTGTATGTGTGTGTTGGTGCTGTGTATGTCTGTGGGTGCTGTATGTGTGTTGGTGCTGTGTATGTGTGTGGGTGCTGTATGTGTGTAGGTGCTGTGTATGTGTGGGTGCTGTGTATGTGTGTGCTGTATGTGTGTAGGTGCTGTGTATGTTGTGGGTGCTGTATGTGTGTAGGTGCTGTGTATGTGTGTGGGTGCTGTATGTGTGTGGGTGCTGTGTATGTGTGTAGGTGCTGTGTATGTGTGTAGGTGCTGTGTATGTGTGTGGGTGCTGTATGTCTGTGGGTGCTGTATATGTCTGTGGGAGCTGTATGTGTGTGGGTGCTGTACGTGTGTAGGTGCTGTATGTGTGTGGGTACTGTATGTGTGTGGGTGCTGTATGTGTGTGGGTGCTGTATGTGTGTGGGTGCTGTATGTGTGTGGGTGTTGTAAGTGTGTGTGCTGTATGTGTGTAGGTGACTGTGGGGGGTGGAGGTGGGGGTACATTACTTGATATCCCCCTCCATTCTTACCTTATGTAGGGAGGGGAGATTGTGCTGCTGCTTTCCCTGGTGGTCCAGTGGAGAGTGAACTCTAGCCCCTGTGGGGCTAGAGTTCACTCTCGTGAGATTTGAGCATTGCCGTGGCAATGCTCATATCTCGCGAGAGGAACCCGGCGGAGCTGCCGGCAATAGCTCCCCGGGTCCTCTCCCGCCCCCCTCCCTGCCTGTGGGTCGATAGGTAGGGAGGCTGAGAGCAGAGCCGGCGCTCGGATAGCGCCGGCTCTGAATGAGCCGACAGGGGAGATCCTGAGATCTCCCCTGCTGGTCTCAATATACATAGGTGTGCCGCGGGGATTAGGGTGTGCCCAGGCACACCCGGCACACCCATGGTATAATATATACTTATCCTAATAGTAAACAGGACAGCCTCCTACTGATCACCTCCCAGATGGTGATCTTACATAAAATAGGAATAAAAACAACAAAACATGGGAAATGGCTTTATAGTAAGATTGAAGATATAAACGCATTCAAAGGGTTCATCCTCCGATGGTGTTGGGGGGGGCTGTAAAACAGATTTATTGCTGTGTCATTGTTGCATGCTGCTGTTATACATATTGATTTTTGGTTCCTGAGGAAGTCCAATTGCACTTGGATGAAACGCGTAGAACCAGTCCTGTTTTTATTTAATTGGTGTATTTTCACCTTTTATAAATAAAGTTGAATATATTTTTTACCACCATCTTCTGGATTACGATTCTTAAAGGAGTGCACACGGACCAAAGCATGGGTTTACAGCCCCCCAACACCATCGGAGGAGGCACCATTTGAATGCTTTTTTATCTTCAATCTTATTATAAAGCCATTTCCCATATTTTGTTGTTTCTATTCTTAAGTCTAAAGGAGCCTGATCTCTTTATGACCTTGTATCCTCAGATTTAACACAGTACTTATCACCAGAGAGGACTGTGTACCTGCAGGCACATCCAATAAAGCCTGCAGGTACACATACACACTAAACCCACACCGTTACACACACAAGCTACACACACTACACATGCTGTTACCCAAATCCACACTATTACACAGACAGACTAATACCTACACCCACAGTTACAAACACAAATTATGACACAGACATTAGACATGTGCAATTTGTTTCATTCCGAATGTAAATTCAAACAAATTTCGGGCAATTTAGGACATTCGGATGCTTTCAATTGCTGAAGTACCAAAGTCCAAATTTCAGAAATGCCGAACTGAACCAAATTGCCAAATTTCGGAAGTGACCAGGTGCTTCGGTTTTCTTGACCAATAAGCTAGTTCCTTGCACTGGGAGCCCTTTAGATGTGTAAGTGGTTGTGGTGGTTAGGGTTAGGGGTACAGTTAGAGAGCCCTACCGAATACCAAAGTTCCGAAGTTCCAAATTTCAGAAGTGCCGGACCAAACCGAATTGCCGAAGTACCACAATTTTTTTTCTTACCAGAATTTCCTAACCGAACTGAATTTTTTGCCCATGCAAATCCCTAACAGACATACACACAGACCTATATACTTACACATACAAATTCACACAATTATCTGTCTACAGGTACACACGATAAACATGTAAATATTGATGCTGCTAATAGAATGCATGTACACTTATAACTACTTTTCACTGTGCCTTACTGAAATTGTTACATCAACAGTTGGATTTCGGATTGTTGGAGGGCGTGAAGCCAGAGCACATTCCAGACCTTACATGGCATCTCTGCAGATTGCAGGCAAACATTTCTGTGGTGGGACTCTCATCAATAAAAAATGGGTGTTAACTGCAGCACACTGCATGGAGGACACGTAAGACATTATGAATTACATAATACATTGCACCATATGCTCCAGCAACCTATACCATCCTAAATCATACAGTTTCTCTGCATGTAACGATAAGCACAGATCAAAATGATGATATATAACAAACAGTTTAGCTTAACGGCACATCAGTTTATTTCTACTTAAAGCCAATCTGTTTGCCTCTATTGAATCAGCCTTCATTTACCAAACTTTATGTTGATTTTTTTTGTATTTATTTGATTCTTGGGAGCTCTTTTGGAGGATATTTTAAAGGAACACTGTAGGCACCCAGACCACTTCAGCTAATTGAAGTGGTCTGGGTGAAACGACCCTTGCACTTAGTGCTGCAATGTTTAACATTGCTGTTCCAGAGAAACTGGAGGGCTTCCTCAATAGAAACGGGTCTTTAGTGCATGAGGACCTCCAGTATCAGGTTTTTCCCCATAGAAAAGCATTAATTCAATGCTTTCCTATAGGCAGATCTAATGTGCGAGTGGCATTTGCAGCGCATGCGCAATAGCGCCCGCTCATCACGGACTGTAGGAGGGGGCGGAGCATCATTGCAGCGCCAAGGGACATTGGAGCTGGAAAAAGGTAAGTAAATAAAGGTTTCAACCCATATTTACCAGGGATTGGAAGAGTTGTTGGATTCAGCGCTTTCTGACCATTAGATAGCTAGAAAAAAGAAAAGGTAAAAAGGGCCGTTTGTTCCCTCACAAACCATCAAAGGAGTACCCAATGTAAAAACAGATAAGAGAGGTCACGCCACACAAATAATATGTATGTTAAAACCAATGGTTACTTACATAAAATGCTAAAAAGGGAACAGAGTCCTGAATGAAATAAGTAAAATAATACAATTATATAGTCCAAGTTGACTGAAGAAATAAATCCAATGTCCAAATGGCGTAGAGGCATAAAAACAGAAAAAGAAATTCCAATAGTGTAAAACCGTAGATACCAGGCGGAATATGATAGTAGTAGTAGTACTTCTCTTACTCACCTAGTCGAGAGGTGGAGCCAGCTCATGTGTACACCGCATTCAGTGGCGTTGATCCCCCACTGGTAGGATATAGGTGTTGGTCAGCAGGTAAAGATCCTCAATATGTGGAAGGAAAAGATAACCAATAGTGCTCTCTGTATAGAATAGCAGGAGGTTGGTAATTTAAAAAGGTATTACTCACATGCGGGTGAGCATGATATGCTGCTCACTTTAGAAGCGTAAAAAAAAGTATAATCCCACCTAGGATTCTTGAGTGAGTGGAAATTCCAGAGTTATAGTATGACTAGGTTATAAAATAATAAAAAGTAATATGAAAAAGGTATATGGCATAGGCAGAGTATTTTGGGCCAATATTCCTTTAATGATGTGATTTAAAAAAAGTAAGAACAGTAAAAACAGCCAAAACGTGTTTCGCCACACAGTGCTTTTGTTTTTTCTAGTGTAAATTTTAGTGATGCTATATATATATATATATATATATATATATATATATTTTAATCACCCTTATATTTCCAAACATCTCAGTATGGTCAATTATGTTTCATTTTAAATCGTCTCATAGCATCACCAACAGTTTTAAACAAAATGCATTTCTCTACACACTTTTGTAATAGAAATCTCATTTTATTTCACGTTCTTTATTAATTCCGATTGAGCTGTCTTTCCGCTTGTGTCTGGGAACTTCATTTCGAAGTGTTCATCCGTAAGGTGACGCGCATGCGTGCTGCTCTCACCTTGCGGTCTGCCCTCCCTCCTGCAAAGAGGCTCGCATTGCTTAGACTGCCCTCGGCAATTGTGCCGATACACAATCCAGTGGGAGTATACATTACCCCCAAGCTCCCTCTGCTAGTCACGTGGAAAAGCGAGTCATATTCTGATTGTGCGCCACCTGACCGCTCATTTGCATTTTAAATTTGTTTTTAAGGTTATAACACTTTTGTTTTAATAAACAAGTTACATACTTATATTGTGTACAACTACTTTATCATCTTTATATGATTTTAGTTTTGTTTTACATTTTACGCTTTATAGAATTGTGACGTCATTTTGGCGCCAAAATTTGAATAATTTATTATTTGTAAGTGCCTAAATAAAGTACCACCAGGTTATGTTTTTATTGCCATTTGATAAAGCCCTGTGTGGCGAAACACGTTTTTACTGTTCTTACTTTTTAAATTCACATCATTAAAGGACCACTATAGTGCCAGAAAAACATACTTGTTTTCCTGGCACTATAGTGCCCTGAGGGTGCCCCCACCCTCAGGGACCCCCTCCCGCCCGGCTCTGGAAGGGGGAAAGGGGTAAAAACTTACCTTTTTCCAGTGCTGGGCAGAGAGCTCTCCTCCTTCTCTCCTCCTCCGTTCCGCCCCGTCAGCTGAATGCGCACGCGCGGCAAGAGCTGTGCGCGCATTCAGCCGGTCGCATAGGAAAGCATTATCAATGCTTTCCTATGGACGCTTGCGTGCTCTCACTGTGAAAATCACAGTGAGAAGCACGCAAGCGCCTCTAGTGGCTGTCAATGAGACAGCCACTAGAGGATTAGGGGGAAGGCTTAACCCATTAATAAACATAGCAGTTTCTCTGAAACTGCTAAGTTTATAAAAAAAATGGGTTAACCCTAGCTGGACCTGGCACCCAGACCACTTCATTAAGCTGAAGTGGTCTGGGTGCCTAGAGTGGTCCTTTAAATGAATATTGGCCCAAAATACTCTGCCTACGCCATATACCTTTTTTATATTACTTTTTATTATTTTATAACCTGGTTATACTATAACTCTGGAATTTCCACTCACTCAAGAATCCTAGGTAGGATTATACCACCCACGCTTTTAAAGTGAGCAGCATATCCTGCTCACCCGCATGTGAGTATAATACCTTTCAAATTACCAAACCCCTGCTAGTCTATACAGAGAGCACTATTGGTTTTTATCTTTTCCTTCCACATATTGAGGATCTTTACCTGCTGACCAACACCTATATCCTACCAGTGGGGGATCAACGCCACTGAATGCGGTGTACACTTGAGCTGGCTCCAGCTCTCGACTAGGTGAGTAAGTACTACTACTATCATCATATTCCGCCTGGTATCTACGGTTTTACACTATTGGAATTTATTTTTCTTTTTTTATGCCTCTACGCCATTTGGACATTGGCTTATTTCAGGACTTATAGATCAACTGGATTCATTTATTTCTTCAATCAACTTGGACTATATTATTGTATTATTTTACTTATTTTATTCAGGACTCTGTTCCCTTTTTAGCATTTTATGTAAGTAACCATTGGTTTTAACATACATATTATTTGTGTGGCGCGACCTCTCTTATTCGTTTTTACTTTATTTACCAGGGCAGGGGGCGCGAGGGAGGGGAAGGCAGAGGTCATTCCTGGCACTATAGTATCCCTTTAAATTATACTGCATACTGACCATAAAATGATTTAATATAATCTGCTGATTAAACAAGCAGAAATAATAAAACACCCATATATATTTCAAATAAATTCAATTGCATACTTATACATTCAACAGTGTATTCTGGTAATCTGTAAAAAACTAAACACATATAGTGCAACACTGTGTTTAACAAATTATTTCCAACACACCCCTTTCATATGTGTTTTACTTTTCTTAACAGCTTACCAGACTATGCTGTTGAATGTGGAAGTACACAAAAAATGAATTTATTTCTGCACCTTTTATATATTTGTTTTTTTTACAGTCTTGATATATGCTTACACCCTGTTCCAAATTATTATGCAAATTATATTTTTCTCATTTACCTAAATAATTGATGTAAATAACAGTCAGCATAATTCTCATGTTATCAACTATTAAGAGTACAATTCAAATTTTATTGAACAAACCTCCTAATGATAACAGTATTTTTTTTTTTAAATCATAAAAAACTTACAATGCACTGTTCCAAATTATTACACACAGTAAGTTTCAAAATACTTTATAGGTTGTAAAGAACTGAAAATTGGCATTTGTTATGTTTGCAGCATATTTACTGAAATCAAAAGCTAGTTCAATCAAACTTATAACAACATTTTAACTTTTTAAACATTTTAACAGGTCACGTTACATTTTAACATAGGACCCCTTATTTGATAGCAGCTTCACAAGTCTTGCATCCATTGAACTTGTGAGTTTTTGGACAGTGTCTGCTTGAATTTGTTTGCAAGATGTCAGGATAGCCTCCCAAAGCTGCTGTTTGGATGTAAACTGCCTCCAACCCTCATAGATCTTTTGCTTGAGGATGCTCCAAAGGTTCTCAATAGGATTGAGGTCAGGGGAGGATGGAGGTCATACCATGACTTTCTCTCCTTTTATCCCCGTAGCAGCCATTGATGCAGAGGTATTCTTTGCAGCATGAGATGGTGCATTGTCATGCATGAAGATGATTTTATTACGGAAAGCATAGTTCTTTCTTCTGTACCAGGGAAGAAAGTGGTCAGTCTGAAACTCCACATACTTTGGAGAGGTCATCTTTACACCTTTGGGGACCCTAAAGGGGCCGACCAGTTCTCTTCCCATGATTCCGGCCCAAAACATGACTCCTCCCCCGCCTTGCTGACGTCGCAGCCTTGTTGGAACAGGGTGGCCGTCCACCAACCATCCACTACTCCATCTAGATCATCCAGTGTTGCACGGCACTCATCAGTGAACAGCACTGTTTGAAAATTAGTCTTCATGTATTTTTCTGCCCAATGCAGCCATTTCTGCTTGTGAGCATTGGTTAGTGGTGGCCGAATAGAAGGTTTATGCACAGTTGCAAGACTCTGGAGGACTCTACACCCTGATGTCCATGGGACTCAAGAGGCAGCAGCAGCTTCAAATATCTGTTTGCTGCTATGTAATGGTATTTTAGCAGCTGCTCTCTTGATCCGGTGCATGGATCTGGCAGAAATCTTCCTCAATGTGCCTTTATCTGCACGAACCCGTCTGTGCTCTGAATCAGCCACAAATCTCTTAATAGTGCGGTAATCACGCTTAAGTTTTCGTGAAATATCTACTGTTTTCATACCTCATCCAAGGCATTGAACAATTTCACTCTTTTCGGCAGCAGAGAGATCCTTTTTCTTCCCCATATTGCATGAAAATGGTGCTCTGCTTAGTAATGTGGAACACCCTCCTTTAGTAGTTTTTCCTTAAATTGGGCTCACCTGGCAATCTAATTATCACAGGTGTCCAAGATTGTTTTCAGTGATCAAAAAAGCCCTGCGACACAATGCCATCCATGAGTTAAACTGAAAAACTAAATATTTAATCTTTGTGACACTTAAATAGAATTTGCATAATAATTTGGGACAGGGTGTATAGATAGCAACTATTTTTTATGGCTACTGCATGATTGCAAATTGAAGATTATGCTAGCTTTAGTGTACTAATAATCTTAATTTTAATAATGACAGGAGGCTTTGTATTTTGCATAATCTCTCTTTACTAGCTCCACACACCAGCAAAGAAACAGAACCAATCACAAGAGAGTAGGATATACATAAGGCATAGGGACCTCATCATTTCCTCTTTCAGATAGCAACATCAAACGGAAGTAAACATATAACAAGCAAAACAATAACCCCCAAGTCCCACATCCGAAGTAGCAAACTTCCAGAGAATTCCATACGAACAACAAAAAAGTCTTCACAGACGAATCATACTGAAAAGAGAATGTGTGACAGATTTAGACACAGTCATGAACATGTAAATCCAGGTAACGTACCATATACATCATCCCATAGAAGAATATTGTAATTTACAATCTGATAACTGAATAACTATTATGTAAAACTCCAATGAGAATTCCAGATTATTGTCAATACAATCATCAATGTAAGTACAAAACATGAAAGGCAAACCTACCTTAGACCCGTGATACATACAAAGAAATGAACAGAAAGGGTGGGTTAGCGAAGCAGGGAGGCAAAATACTCGCCTCCTGTCTTTATTAAAATTATTAGTACACTAAAGCTAGCATAATCTTCATTTTTACAACATGACAGGAGGCTTCGTATTTTGCATTTTTAACGCTGAGGAAAGAATAGAAACCTAAGAAGAATCCTAAAGTGCAACGAGAGACCTAGTACATCGGGGTTATGGGAGAAACCTCTCCGTCGAAGACCCGAACATCCGGTACCTGACAGAAAGCCAGTAAGGCCAAGCATAAAAGTCTGTCAGCAGATGCCCAGTCCCATAGAGAAAATAGAGAATTACCTTCACATCCTATAAGCCGGAGGTGGAGATCACTGGGTAGTTGCTAAACAAGAGTCCTCAGACCGGGACACGGGCGGTTGAGCCGTCCCAATCACCACATAATAGATCAAGGTACAGTACCAAATACCAATCAGACCAGGAACGCCCAGATGGAGAGGCAGCATGGTCACGTCCCTGGGGCCCAAGAGACTCTCATTCTGTGCCCTGTCATGCATTGTGGCAATTGAAGAAAACCACATTCTGGCGGTCCCTCTGATATGAGTCTCCCTCGGGAGACAGTCCGACCTAGTGGTTCTGCAAGGAAGGCTGGAATCGAGGATGCCTTTCATGATGTCTGACAGAAGGCGGGAGTTGGTTTCATCCAGGCAAATGGCATACTGGACTGTCGACGCTCTGTCCATCTGTAGTAGGATGTAACAGAAGGAGTACTTCTTTACCAGTCTACGGATAGTGAAGTATTGCCCGAATAATTCTAGGTATACAATGTGTAGGGTCACGGTGTTGCAGTGGAGGACCGTGTGAATATTCCTTGAGGATAGAGGAGACATTTGAAGAGGGGGAGCTTCCGTGTGCAAGATGCGGAGTCGCTTGCGAATCACAAAAAGCGGATCATCCACTATGAAATACGACGGTTTCAGTTGGACCTTGGAGAATCGTGGGTGTTGACGAAGTCTTCAGTTCCCTGAATCGACCCGAAGAAGATGGTCCAGGAAGATAATGCCTCGCCTTCCCCACACGTAATTAAACACTGGTTTCGGTAGTTTAATGAAGCCCCCAAAGATCCGAGGTTGATCGTGTCACAGGAAACCTAGATAGTGTCGCCAAGAGGGATGGAAAAACGACCACCATGATGTGTCTTCAAATCTAGTTTTGCAAGCCAGTTGCCTACGCGAAAGGGGTCCTTATTAGTTTGCATTCCTTCCACCTAGTTGCGATGGAATCTCCTGTGGGTGTAGTAGAAAGTAGATTGATGGTACCCTAGGGGCACTCCTCTGAGGAAAACAGTACCTAGCGCATTTGTGCATTCTGTTTTCTATGTCCGATCATCTGGAGAACCAGAGGTTGACTCTCACTCTATATGGGTAATAAAGTTAGCGATAGCAGGGTACCGGGTCAGATGTCCCAAAGTGGTTGGTGACAAGCCCCACTGTCGACCAGTCCCAAAGAACACCCCTTATGGAGGTAACCATGTAACACCCTCCCCCTGGAGGTTTGGGTCTTGATGAGGGCAGCGGGACCATAAACATATGTAATAAGTTCCCTCAGAAATTGTGCCTGGGGTCCTAATGATTTGGCACCCAGATCCGCCAACCATCCGTCAATACGAAGGAGTGCTGCTATGTGCATCCCATAGGAAAGACAAACACTGGGGTTTCTGACGAAAACAGAAACATCTCTGAGCCCATTCACAAATATCATGAGCCCATTTCTGGACGGTGTTGGTGACATCTGGCATCATACCCATGATAGTGTCTATAGAGTCCAGCAGTTAGTCCTGGGTGTCTCTGAGACTTTTCCTGACTCCCCTGAGGAGTCGTGGTCACCCAGAACCATGAAGGACATGATCCACTGGTCAAGCGCAATCGTCTGTGCCACTCTGTCCAAGAGGGAAGGGCATGGGTCGTCCGACCGCAAGCGGTTATGGACATCTTTATCTAGAGACTACAAATCCACAGGTGCATAAAGTAACCAGGTGATCGAGAAGGGACCAGTCTCTCGAATGTACGTGATGGATGTGTAGGTTACACAGCCAGTGACCAGTAGGGTCCAGGGTCGTTTCCGTGTCTTCTCAGTCAGTAGTTTGCAAGGCACTGTCAACTTCATTACCTGGGGGTCCCCCAGAAAGAAATAGGCAGGTAGGTTTATCATAGTATGTGATACCCATGTGTAAGGCACAAACCAGTAGGCAGGCACAGGATGCAGGGCAAACAGATCAGCCTACCATAGTAGTAGGCAGTGCTCACAGAAACCCCTGCTGGTTGTACTCTGAATCGTGGCCAAATAAAATAGACTGGGGCTCACCCAGTAAATAGAGGTTGCAACAGCATGCCTCCGCTCAGCAGCACAGTGCAGCACACATATAGTGGAGCCTCACACTAGGAGCACAAGGTGTGAACCCGTAAGTGCTGGCCACAGCCCTGATAGGAGAACTGATTGATGCTCTCTACCATAAATTCACTGTCAATGAAGATATGCCTTTAAGCAAGCAGCGCTGAAAGCCTGTTCAGCAGTTAGTCGAGGCTGCAACAGCATGCCTCCATTCGGCATTCCAGTGCATCACATGCGTAGTAGGGGCCTCACCCCGGGTGCACAGGGTATGAGCCCTTAAGTGTGGCCACAGCCCTGATATAGAGCATAAATCAGTTCTCCACAATGACTCACTGTCGATAGAGATATTCCGTCAAGCAGGAAGTGTTGAAAATGCTGTCCAGAGGGTAACAGGTTGCCCCAGTATGGCTTCCCTCAGCTGAATAGTGCGGCTCACATATAGTAGGAGCTGCACCCCGGGTGTACAGGGTATGAACCCTTAAATGCTGGCCACTGCTGCGATAGAGCGCAACAATCAGTTTCCCAACAATTCAATTTGTTGTCAAGGGAGATATTCCTTTAAGCAGGGCGTGCTGAAACTCCTGTCCGGCAGTTAACAGTGTGTCATAGCATGTCACCATTCAGTAATGCAGTGCACATCTAGTAGGGGCCTCACCTGAGTGCACAGGGTATGAACCCTTAAGTGCTGGCCATCAGCCTGATAGGGAGCTTCCCTCAGCTCTTCCAATAATGAATGCACTGTCCTTCAGGCAGTATGTCCTGGAAATCATATCCAGCAGTTAACAGAGGCTGTAACAGCATGTCACCATACAATAGCACAGTGTAGTATAAATATAGTAGGGGCCTCACCCACAGGTTATGAACTCTTCAGTGCTGGCCATCAGCCTGATAGAGAGCCTCCCTTAGCTCTTCCAATAATTAATGTGTTACAGTTAAAGTGAGAAATCAGTTAATGTGCACATTACCTAGTTAATCTGCAGATTAACTGATTTGCTCAGTTAAAGTGTGGAATCAAGATTTTTCCGACTTTACCTAGGTAATGTGCACATTAACTGCTTCCGTCTAGTTAAAGTGCAAAATGTTTGTTTCTTTCCCTCGGTAAAAAAGGAAATTATTTATTACAAAAAACAACGTCCTTGCAGAACCTGTTTCACCCTTTCAGTGCTGTCTCTGCAGAGTCGTTCACTTCTCGTCTGAGGGCAGAAAGATTCTGTGTGAACCTGTCTCGATTCTTTTTGTGAGCAAGTTCCTTTCAATGCCCTCCACCATCAAATTCTCAAAGCATAGATGCATGGCTTGTTGCTTCTCAGAGGTGGCTGGCTACTAACAATGCTGCTCCGTAAGTCCAAGAAATACTTCTCTCATTGAGGAGAATGAGACAAAGGAGAGGTCTGCTTATGGACCACTGATTCCGACAGTCTTCAAATATATGATGATATAGCGAACAGTGGAGAGCATTTGCTGGGATCATTTCAGGGTGTTGCTGCATAATGTGCAGGAAGCGCTCGCTCTCTTGTGGTGGTGGGGGCTCCTCGTTTCTTACAAGTTCAGGATAAACTGTTTGAAGAGGTATGTGACTATATGGTCCAGACAAGAACAGAACAGCAGCCTGTGCACACCATGGTGTCCTCCAGAGCTGTGAGCCCCTCAGAGAGATGGAGGACAGTATGATTTTTTTGCACTTTAATGAGTACCTAGTAGGTAATGTGCAGATTACCTAGGTAATGTGAGTAACAAAATCATTTTCTGCACTTTTACTGATCGCCCTAGTTAATCTGCATATTAACTAGGTAATGTGCACATTAACTGATTTCTGCACTTTAACTGTAACAAATGCACTGTCATGAGAGATATTCCATTAGGCAGTATGTCCTGGAGATCATATCCAGCAGTTAAGAGGCTGTAACAGCCTGTCTCCATACAGTATCACAGTGCAGCACACATATAGTAGGGGCCTCACCTCAGGTGCACAGGGTATGAACCCTTCAATGCTGGCCACAGCTTTGACAGAGAGCACTAATCTGTGCTCAAACAGTTAATGCAAGGTTATTGGGGATATTCCTTTAAGTAGTATGTCCTGGAAATCATATCCAGCAGTTAACAGAGGCTGTAACAGCCTGTCTCCATACAGTATCACAGCGTAGTAAAATATATAGTAGGGGGAATCACTCCAGGTGCACAGGGTATGAACCCTTTAGGGCTGGCCACAGCTCTGACAGAGAGCAGTAATCTGTGTTCAAACAGTTAATTCAAGGTTATGGGAGATATTCCTTTAAAGCGGCACTGTCATGCTGAACTTACCTTTCCTCAATCTCTTCCTCTTCTCCCCCTCTCTCAGGATCTGTTATTCTTTTCTTCCTATCTTCTTTAGTTTTCTTTAAAATCATAAGACAAAGTAGGGACTCTTTGCCTTATGGAGGATTCCTCCGCTTGACCAGCTCTGACCAGCGGAGGAGCAAAGTGTGCTTCATTTCCGCTGGTCAGAGCAATTTTCCCATGATCCTTACCTTCCCTCTGTGTTCCCACGATGCTTCCTGTCACTTTACACTAAACTGCCGAATTGCGTTCTAACTGAATGAGAACAGTATGTTCGTTTCTTTTAGAACGCAATTCGGCACTTTATTCGGATCGGAATTTCATTCTAATGAATGAAACTCCGATCCTATTCATTGCCGCGGCTGCATCTTGCAGCCGCTTAGTAGATAACTCCCTAATTCCCACGGTATCAGGGAGCTATCTACTAAAAGGCTGAAAGACCTAAATTGGTCTTTCAGCCAACTTTACTAATACTAAGTAAAGATTACTTAGTATTAGTAAATTAAATGCCCCTACTCGCTATACTCGCTATATAAAAAAACAAAAAACAAAAAAAAAACTAATAACCCCCCCCCATGCCCGTGGGGGCACTAAATAAAGATGGGGGGGACCTACTGTCCCACCTGGCCCCCACCCCTGAGCGGTGGGTGGGGGCCCTAAATAAAGATATGGGGGGGAACTTCTGGCCCCCCCCCGCGCGGTGGGTGGGGGCCCTAATAAAACAATAAGGAAGGGGGACCTACTGTCCTCCCCCCCTGGCCCCCACCCCTGAGCAAATGGTGGGTGGGGGCCCTAAATAAAAATATGGGGGGGAACTTCTGTCCCCCCCCGGCTCCCACCCCTGCGCGGTGGGTGGGGGCCCTAATGAAACAATAAGGGGGGGGGACCTACTGTCCTCCCCCCCTGGCCCCCACCCCTGAGCGGTGGGTGGGGGCCCTAATAAAACAATAAGGGGGGGGGACCTACTGTCCTCCCCCCCTGGCCCCCACCCCTGAGCGGTGGGGGCCCTAAATGAAACCCCCCCCAATCAAGGTGACTAGGGGTCCCAAGCCCCTAGTCACCCCCCCCACCCAAAAAAACCTATCCCCTACCTACCTCCCTCACATTAAAAATAGTGAGGGGGGAATAAAGTAACTAACCTGTAAAAAAAAAATTAAACTTACCATTTGACGTCTTCTTTTTTCTAAAATCCAAAAAGGCCAAATAAAAATCCATTATACCCGTCGCACTTTAAAAAAAAAAAGCGCAAAAAGGGCACGCCGCGTACTGAGCTCCGCAGGGCGGGTCAAGGCTAGTAAAGCCTTGCCCCGCCCTGCAATTAGGCTTAGAACACTCTGATTGGTGGGTTCAAGCCACCCAATCAGAGTGCTCTGTGTCATTTTACGCAGCATGGGAAAGTTCTTTAGAATTTTCCCACGCTGTGTAAAATGACTCAGAGCACTCTGATTGGCTTAAACCCACCAATCAGAGTGTTCTAAGCCTAATTGCAGGGCGGGGCAAGGCTTTATAAGCCTTGACCCGCCCTGCGGAGCTCAGTACGCGGCGTGCCCTCGAAAGGCGAACATGGATTCATTTTTTTTTGCGCTCGTTTTTTTTTTTTTTTAAGTGCGACGGGTATAATGGATTTTTATTTGGCCTTTTTGGGGGCTGAAGAAAGAAGATTTTAGAAAAAAGAAGACGCAAATGGTAAGTTTAATTTTTTTTTTTTTACAGGTTAGTTATTTTATTCCCCCCTCACTATTTGTAGGGTGAGGGGGGTAGGTAGGGGATAGGTTTTTTTGGGTGGGGGGTTGGTGACTAGGGGCTTGGGACCCCTAGTCACCTTGATTGGGGGGGGGGTGTTTCATTTAGGGCCCCCACCCACCGCTCAGGGGTGGGGGCCAGGGGGGGAGGACAGTAGGTCTCCCCCTCCTTATTGTTTTATTAGGGCCCCCACCCACCGCGCAGGGGTGGGGGCCAGGGGGGAGGACAGTAGGTCCCCCCCCTTATTGTTTTATTAGGGCCCCCACCCACCGCGCAGGGGTGGGGGCCGGGGGGGGACAGAAGTTCCCCCCCATATCTTTATTTAGGGCCCCCACCCACCGCTCAGGGGTGGGGGCAGGGGGGGAGGACAGTAGCCCCCCCCTTGTTTTATTAGGGCCCCACCCACCGCACAGGGGTGGGGGCCAGGGGGGGAGGACAGTAGGTCCCCCCATATCTTTAGGGCCCCCACCCCCTCCCCAGAGGACACCTACTGTCCTCCCCCCCCTTATTGTTTTATTAGGGCCCCCACCCACCGCTCAGGGGTGGGGGCCAGGGGGGGAGGAAGTAGGTCCCCCCCCTTATTGTTTTATAAGGGCCCCCACCCACCGCGCAGGGGTGGGGGCCAGGGGGGGAGGAAGTAGGTCCCCCCCCTTATTGTTTTATTAGGGTCCCCACCCACCGCTCAGGGGTGGGGGCCAGGGGGGGGAGGACAGTAAGTCCCCCCTTATTGTTTTATTAGGGCCCCCACCCACAGCTCAGGGGTGGGGGCCGGGGGGGAGGACAGTAGGTCCCCCCCCCTCATTATCTTCATGGCCCCCACCCGCCGCTCAGGCCACAGGCTGCTCACTGTTTAGTAGACATGCCCCTACTCGCGGTATAGCGAGTAAGGGCATTTGGGAGATTTTAATCTCCCTTGTGCTATTATGGGGGTCATATTGACCCCATAGAGTGAGAGTGGGACCTGGGGGGGCTTATGAAGTGGTGGGGAGCACTGCTCCCTGCCGCTTCTATAGTTACATATTACAAGGAGGGAGCTGCGTGCCGGTAGCTCCCTCCTTGTAATAAACTGAACGAACAAACTAACACTGATACATTGTGTTAGTTTGTTCGGCTGATCTTTCTATTCACTCATTCGTCTGTCTGATGAATGAATGAATAGATGAAATTCCCGTTCGCATGTCCAGGTGTTTCACTGGGCATGTGCAGGAATCTAACAGTCTGTCTAGTGTGGGTTGATGACGTGTCCCACAGGGACTTCATCTACCCACACAAAGATGGCGGCGCCCTGAATCAAGATCGGGGCAGAAAATAAGGATTAAAAAATAGGTAATGTGGGGGGCTTAGGGGCATTTGAGGGTGACTAGTGGGTCAATTGGATGTAGTGGAGGCGGGAGGGGGGTTAAAAAAAAAACGGGATTCGGCATGACAGTGCCGCTTTAAGCAGTATGTCCTGGAAATCCTGTCCAGCAGTTAGCAGAGGCTGCAGAAGCATGTCTCCATACAGTAGCACAGTATAATATAAATACAGTAGGGGGCTTACCCCTTGAGTGCAGGCCACAGCCCTGACAGAGCACTAATCCATGCTCTAATAGTTAATACAAGGTTATGGGGGTTAACAGACTGTAACAGCATGTCTCCATACAGTATCACAGTGCAGTATAAATACAGTAGGGGGCTTACCCCATGAGTGCAGGCCACAGTCCTGACAGAGAGCACTAATCCATGCTCTAATAGTTAATACAAGGTTATGGGTGAAATCCCTATTAACAGCTTATATAATTGGTCTAATTCAACATTAACATGCAACCCCAGTAAGATCCAAAAGCCCCCCAAGGCTCAGAGAAGTAAGAGCAAGGAGAGGAGAGGGCAGAAACCAAGAATAAGGTAGAAACACAATAAATAACGTAGCAAAAACACAGCTGCACATAGTACAGAAGCACAGCAAGAACAAACAGCAAAGTATATAAATATAATACAGAAACAACCTCAAAAGAGGCAATATAAACATAAAGTAATGGAGAAGAGTAATAATCTGACCTGTCTGCTTGATTGGAGCAGCAAAGAAAGAGGAAATGATGGTCACTATGCCTTATGTACATCCTACTCTCTTGTGATTGGTTCTTTTTTCTATATGTTTCTTTGCTGCTGTGTGGAGCTAGTAAAAGAGAGATTATGCAAAATACGAAGCCTCCTGTCATGTGGTAAAATTTTGCAACAGTTTGATTTTAATCTTGCACAATACTTGATACTTTTTGCTGCACTTTAATTTTGCACAGAAAGAAATTGGAGCACAGGGCCCTAAACACAGTATTATTCACTGCATATTGTATAGCAATGCATTATTCAGTATAGCTTAAATATCACTGCATTATTTGCTGCATACTAATACTGCATTATCCACGTATATCACATTGCACTGTATTCCTCATTACATATTACACAATACTACATTATTCATTGCACATTATACATTGCACCTTACATATTACTGAATTATTCACTGCACGTTAAATAGTACTGTATTATCACCTGATATTGCATAGCACTGCATTATTTAATGTAGATCACATTGCACTATATTAACTTCATATTACATTATACTGCATTATTCATTGCTCATTACACATCACTGCATATTACACAGCACTGCACTATTGACTGCACATCACATGGCATTGCATTATTCATTGCACATTACATAGCACTGCCATTATGTATTGCATATTACACAGCAATGATATATGCATTGCATTTTAGACAGCACTGCATTATTCATTGCATATTACATGTAATTGTGTATTACCCAGCACTGCATTATTCATTGTACATTATACAGCACTGCATTAAAGGGACACTAAAGGCATAAAAACAAGAAGTTTGGTGTATAGATGATGCCCCTGCAGTCTTACTGCTAAATTTAGGAGTTAACACATATTTCTTAACTCCCACAACTCCCCTGACTGTGACTGACACAATGACTGACACAGCCTGCATAAATAGTTTAATTTTCAATCAGAGTTAACTTGCTTTAGAAGTTTTTATCTCCTGCTCTGTAAATTGAAGTAAAATCACACATAGGAGGCTCTAGTATGCTATAAACAGGAGCAGGAGATACATTTTAGATTAAACAGACTGTATAATAAACCTAAAACACAGAGGTTCCATTACAGGAAGGCACTGCAAGTTTCATGCAGGGAGGCGTGATTAGAGCTGTATAAGCAAAAAGTCATTTAACTCTTAAATGTCAGAAAATTGAGCAGTGACACTGCAGGGGCATGATCTATACACCAGAACTGCTTAATCGAACTAAAGTTGTTTTGGTGTCTATAGTGTCCATTTAACTTCATATTACAGAGTGATGCATTAGTCATTGCATACTACCCACATTATACACTGCACATTACACAACACTACATACTGCATTGTTTATTGCACATTACGTAGCATTGCATTATTTAGTATTAGACAGCACTCATGCAGATTGAATAATATCATTTAATTATCTTGCGGGGCAGGCCTATGAATTTATTGCGTGTGGTACTCGGCGTTCACAATTTGCGTGCTCCAGACAAATTTGTGCAGGTGTTTAGTGTACAGGAATCCGTTCAACACCCAGAGTACAATCGTAACACATTTCAGAATGACATTCAACTGCTAAAGGTAAGAAAAGTGTCTTGTCATTGTGTAGTCCTAGCGTACAGGAAGATGCATTAATACATTTTGATTTTGTTCTTGTTTTAGAAATAATATTGCATTGTCTCTTATTTTCCCCTAGCTAAATGATTCTGTTCCTGTGTGTCCTTATGTGAATACATTGAAAGTACCCTGTGCCAACTCAGATATATCCCCTGGCACTCCCTGCTCAGTGGCTGGGTGGGGCTTTATCTCTGATTTTGGTGTTGAACCAAAGGCTTTAATGGAGGTGGATGTGGATGTAATTACCCGTTCGGCATGCAATTCTTCCTGGGAAGGAGGCATCTATGAAAGTATGCTGTGTGCTGCCAGCCCTGGGCAGAAAGCTAAAGGTTTCTGTTCTGTAAGTATTAAAGAGACACATTTTCAAATATAACCTATTTTTATTATTCTGGATTTTCTATGAGCCATACTAGGCACATTTTGTTTCTTCAAGGCCATAGTCAACACAGGAGGTAAGTGAGTTCAGTGAAACTGCAGTCACATCCAGTTTTCCTTCTTCTTTATCGGTTCTTTATATTTTGTTTTGATCATGCATCCACTCTGCTACTCATGCCTTTTGTCATAATGAAACCCCTGTATAGTATGGTCTAGGCAAGCTGAGAGCAGGCAAACAGCCGGTTTATTTTTATAATGGCACAAGATGAGCTAAAGCCAGCTTGAGAGCTGAGCGGGGGCCCACCGAATGGCAGGCTATTTGAGCTGTTGGCAGTTCACAGTGTTCTCTTGCACCCTGTTTTATGCTTTCTGTAGGTGTGCTGTGATGAAACTGTGACCCAAACAGACCATATCTTTTTTTATTTTTCCCTATTTATCCTGTTTGTGCTGAATATTAAACAATGTTGTGCTCTTGCCTGCAGGGTGATTCTGGAGGGCCCCTTGTATGTGAAAACCAAGTTCAAGGAGTGGTATCTTTCTCTGGAATACGGTGTGGGAATCCATTCTTCCCAGATGTATACACTCGTGCAGGATCTTTTCTGGCATGGATCCAGAAAGTAATAGGGATATCTTGCTATTAGCATTACGAGAACGGATCAATGGGTCATATGGCAAACTGCATCTCTAAATGAATAAAATTATGTGTATGTATTATTAATGCTGTCACTTCATTGTAAAGTACCACTCATACTACTTATTCATATTGTGTTAGGGCCATAATGACAGACTTGCTAACAGGCAACATTGTTAGTGTTTTAGTCTCTGAAAAAACATGGAATTCACAAAATTCATTGAAGAATCCAAGTCATTATATTCCATAGAGAATGTAGTAAACAACTTCTCAACATTAGACAATCATTCATACACTTTCAGATTCAACAGTAATTTCTAAGTGTGATGGTGGCATGTGTCATCAAGTAAATACAGCATGTGTTAACATACATACAATGTATAGATAAATACAGTCCTGTAATACAGTTCTGTAAATACATACAATAAATAGTCCTGCATTGTCAGTTTGTGTCAAACAAAGTTGTGTATCATTTACTTATGTATCTCTAGGAAATTTGTTGATGCTGGAAAGGAAATTGATAATAATAAGAAGAATAAAATGTTTGTAAAATAAAGCACAATAAAATATTATTATATTCTGTCAGACAGAAAATGTACGTGACAATTCAGCCACTGATGAAGCTCACAGGAACATTTAACTCACTTTAGCAATTATCGTCTGCTCTGTTAATTAATCCCTTAAGGACGGAGCCAAATGTACACGTTGTGAACAAAACAAAATGTAAACAAAACCTGGCATTTGCGCTACATGTCTGTCCAACCGTAATTCACCTGTTTCATAGTAAATGCACCCACCCTTATTATATATCATTTTATTCAGGGGAAACAGGGCTTTTATTTAATATCAAATATTTAGCTATGAAACATAATTTAATATGAAAAAAATGGGAGAAAATACGATTTTTTAAAAAGTTTTTTAATTCTACATGACATTTTAACGGTCAATGTCATAATACTGTTTGCCTTTACTGCAATAAAATACACATATTTGTATTCAGTAAAGTCTCACGTGTAAGACAGTACCCCCTATGTACAGGTTTTATGGCGTTTTGGGAAGTTACAGGGTCAAATATAGCACGTTACATTTGAAATTGAAATTCGCCAGATTGGTTACGTTGCCTTTGAGACTGTATAGTAGCCCAGGAATGAAATTTACACCCATAATGGCATACCATTTGCAATAGTAGACAACCCAAGGTATTGCAAATGGGGTATGTCCAGTCTTTTTTAGTAGCCATTTGGTCACAAACACTGGCCAAAGTTAGCGTTAGTATTTGTTTGTGTGTGAAAAATGCAAAAAACGCCAATTTTGGCCAGTGTTTGTGACTAAGTGGCTACTAAAAAAGACTGGACATACCCTGTTTGCAATACCTTGGGTTGTCTACTATTGCAAATGGTATGCCATCATAGGGGTAATTTTCATTCTTGGGCTACCATAGGGTCTCAAAGGCAACGTAACCAATCTGGCGAATTTTAATGTGAAAAAAATTAAACGCAAGCCTTATATTTGACGCTGTAACTTTTGAAAACACCATAAAACCTGTACATGAGGGGTACTGTTGTACTCGGGAGACTTCGCTGAACACAAATATTTGTGTTTTAAAACAGTAAAAAGTATCACAGCAATAATATTGTCCGTGTAATGCTGTTTGTGTGTGAAAAATGAAAAAAACTTCACTTTTACTGGCGATATCATCGTTGTAATACATTTTACTGTTTTGAAACACTAATATTTGTGTTCAGCGAAGTCTCCCGAGTAGAACAGTACCCCCCATGTACAGGTTTTATGGTGTCTCTGGAAAGTTATAGGGTTAAATATAGTGCTAGCAAATTAAATTCCCTTTACTTTCAGCATGGGTTGTCAGGCAGGTCCCGCTAATTGTAATTAATTAAGATACCTAATTATGTAAAAATATTACATAAATATATATGTAGAATTAATATATATATATATATATATATATATATATACGTATGTGAATATATATACACACACACACACACACACACACACACACTTATATATCTATATAATTTTTAAAATTTTTATTTATATAGGTATATATTTATATATAGGTATATATATAGTGATATATACGTATATATTTATGTATATAGATATATATATTATTTCGTTCTACGTGTATTTTGATATATATATATATATTAATTTCACAAAACAGTTAGAACTAAATAACACACATCTATATATTTTTTAATTATTTATTTTTAATTATTTTTTTAATTTTATTTTTTAACGTATTTACATTTTTATTTTTTTTATATTATATATAAATATATATATAACAATAATTATATATATATTTAATCAGTATCAGTCTACGTATAATTTGATATTAATATATATACACGCAGGTGTGTGTGTATATATATATATATATATATATATATATATATATATATATATATATATATATATATATATATATATATGTATTAAGGCCGTTTGGCCTGTATTTGTGGGAGGGGCTTAAATTAATTCACTCCCCTATATAAGGGACACCCCTTACCTGACTCATATCGCTTGAGGTCAGCATCAGAATGATTTCCACTTCCGGGTCATCCAGACGCCATTTTACCTGATTACTCCATGAGGTTTTCTAAGCAGAGCTGTGTCAGGAATCCAGCCACAGGCTTTTCCGGCCTATCACCTTCTTTCTTCAATCCATCGCCGTGGATGGTGTCCAAGTGACTCACAAACCGTAAGTCGACCTACCCGTTACGCCAGGCATCAGTCCCACGGCACCATGCACGGGTCAGGTCCTCATTTTACGGCTGCATTTTGTCTATGTCTGTTCTAAAACCATTGCATGTTCATGCATATCATTCGTTTAAACCCCCTACAGGTCTTTGGGTGTACTACAGGCTTCTTAGACATTATTGCATTTCATGTACAAACCAACGAACCACTGCATTTTCGCCTAGACACTGACCCCTACCGGTCTTTTGGTGTACTCCAGGCTTCTTAGACATTATTGCATTTCATGTACAAACCAACGAACCACTGCATTTTCGCCTACACACTGACCCCTACCGGTCATTCGGTGTACTACCGGCTTCTCAGACATTATTGCATTTCATGTAAAAACCAACCAACCACCGCATTTTTCACCTACACACTGACCCCTATCGGTCATTCGGTGTACTACAGGCATCTTAGACGTTTTTTGCATTTTCATGTACAAACCAATAAACCACCTCATTTTCACCTACACACTGACCCCTACCGGTTTTTGGTGTACTACAGGCTTCTTAGACATTATCGCATTTCATGTACAAATAAACGAATCACTGCATTTGCACCTACACACTGACCCCTACTGGTCATTTGGTGTACTACAGGCTTCTCAGACATTATTGCATTTCATGTACAAATCAACGAACCACTGCATTTGCGCCTACACACTGACCCCTACCGGTCATTCGGTGTACTACGGGCTTCTCAGACATTATTGCATTTCATGTATAAACCAACACACCACTGCCTTTTTCACCTACACACTGACCCCTACTGGTCAATCAGTATATTACAGGCTTCTTAGATTTTATTCCACTTCATTAGCAAACAAACTAACTACAGCATTTTCGCTTTTATACTGACTCCTATCTGTCAAATGGTAGCATTAACCCCTTAAGGACACATGACATGTGTGACATGTAATGATCCCCTTTTATTCCAGAAGTTTGGTCCTTAAGGGGTTAAAGGGTATTTTAACATACAATCAGCATTTCTGACCCCTACTGGTCAACAGCAAAACTGTCTTCACATGTCATATACAATTTACCAGCCAATATAAATTACACATAAGATTGTTTTAAACATAACTATAGACCATAAATTAAACTCCAGCACGGGCTCAACTTCAGGTTTAATTCACAATAATTTACATTTCACATCAAGACCAACAGTGGTTCTATCAACACTGCCACCTACAGGTCTGTCAAGTACATTGACAATTTTCATGGGGTTTTACAAACACCAAAACACTGACACCTATAGGTCAACAGACAAACAACATTTCACATACCAATCAGTATCCAACTACACTGCCACCTATAGGGCACTCGGCAGATCTCCAGTGCACTTGCATTTTGCAACACCATGTTCACTGACCCCTACCATTCAATAAGACATACAACAATTCACATAGCAAGCACTATATCAACATCTGGTATAAATACATATATTATTACACAGTAGCAGACGCATCTGTATATATGTAACTGGTAATATAGTTCACATACATTTTTCACAGCACGCTGCTCCCACAACAGACTTCCCCTAGCAAGGGGACATACAACATACAGACCACATTTTCACTTGTACATACGGCACTTAATGGGTTAAGTTTGATACATATTTAACCAGTATGGCTACGATGTTTAATATTTACACATCACATCACTTTACTTTTCACATATACTGTACGTATTAAGATAAGCTTGGTCTATGCCATATTTCCTTATGCCATACGGTTTTATCCATTCAGGTTACAGTTACTACTAAAAAACCTATACGGATTGTCAGGTTCAATACCATACTACCAGGTACATACACCTGCTCACGTAGTTATCCATCTCTTACCTTCCCTGGAATAGTAATAGTGTACTGGCAATTAGGGTTCTAGGGCCCAATAGGTATTACCCCCTTTTTTCTCTGCATTATGCTTCGGTTAGTGGTCCCGCGAGGCCAACACCCCGCCTCACACTCGGAGGCATACACCCCTCGGGCCACTCGTGAGCTAGCCGCCTCGCATTGTATCATAGAGAGGACCTCACCTGTCACTCCCCTTTCTATTTTCTGGTTACTGTCACCGAGAGGCCAACATCCTGCCACAACGTTCGGTGGCCACACAAAATCCCCTCGCGCCAAGCATAGATAGAGCCTCTCAAGCCACTTGGCAACTAGCAGGGCCTCACCAGTCACCAAAAAAACACCAAGCCTAATCGTTTCGCCTTACGGCTTAGCTAGCAAGCCAGTACAAGAACCCTGGGTACAAATAATAATTGCAATCTTTATTGTTATTTAAGTATTTCTCAAAAAGATGGTGAAGAATCACCTCTTCCTAGCACCCCGGCTAGAATTGATACACCTTCAAGCAGAGGAGATGTTGCTAGTCCAGCAGCAATCAGATCCTGGACGATCCCACACATTACCACCGACCTAAGGAGGTGACAAATCCCCTACCCTGCTACAGCAAGGAAAGCAGTTATTCAAACTCCTCCATACATCAACGGACAACACGGAGGCAGGGGAAGGCCCAGCTACATCAACTCAGGTGACACCCAGGCTATGCTAGCTTCACTAATAAACTCATGAGCCAAAACATTTATGACAGACTGGCAATCTCGAGTTGGTCACCACAGCCCTCACAAGGCTGGGCCTCACGCTACTGTACAACCAGCACCAACCGAAACTCGGTTACCTGGTACAATCAATTCTTATGACACACAAGATGTTAAACCTGCACGTATGATCCCAGCACATTGGGGAAGCAAGGCATATATATGTATGATGATGTATCTGTGATGGTCAGATCCAGGGATTCCAGGTAAATCGGGAACTGACCATCCCTTGGTTGGGTTGGCATTTGGAATATGTGGAGATGTTTATTTGTGCAGGTACCCATACAGAAGGGATTTTGTCCCAAACAAATGGACGAGCACTCTCAGGCTCCAGGTACCAGCACCTCTGAACTACCAGAGACCACTGATATGAGTAGTTGCATTGCATACAGACTGTTGCATATATGTTCAAATAGTTCAGGGCACATGACAAACAATGTGTCCCAATACAACTTACGAATAACGTATTCACCATCTGTACACACCAATGCATTTTCAACACTACTGACTCATCACCCTTCCAGACTTGTAGTAGATTTACTAAAGCTCTGGAGCTTCAAAGGGCTCCCATACAGGTATCATAAACACACCTTCAAGGAATATAGCATGCCCT